AGTGTAGTTTGGTGTGCATATTCATGACAGTGTACTAAGTAATCTAACAAACTAAGTAGGAATTGGTCAAAACCAGCAAACACTTGTACAAAAGAGAAAGAAAGCAGCACCATCTGGGAGTAGTATGGCAAAGAAAAAGAAGGTGATTAATAAGGGGAAACAAGTACAATTGATGCCTGACAGTGATGGTTAGTAAATGTATACTTTCATTGCTTCAATTGTGTGTACTACTAAATTTGAGTGTGAGATTTGATTAAAATTTTAGAAGACACGATTACTCGGCTCATGCAGTTGCATTCTAAGCTTGACAAACAAAAGGAATTGAGCATGCAGCTACAGGAAATTAGGAGCAAAACCAGACATGAATTCCAAGGTCAGTAATAGTAAATATTCATTGTATTGAATAGTTTACGATGTATTAATGAGAAAGAATTATCCTCAAATGCAGGTTCATTTGTAGAAGACACTTTGGGTATTGAATTGTTGCAAAAAGAGGTTGAGAGAATGTTGAAAAAGGAAAAGGCAAAAGGTTTTGCAACGGAGAAAACAAGGAGTGGCCCAGTTGAAGGTTTGATTACAACCTACTGTCCCCTCTACGTGTTGGTCAAATGTCATTCCTAGACGTGAACTTTTATTAAATTACATGCATTTGAAATACATATACTACGAAGTGAATTAGAATTAAAACGATGCAATTAATACTAAAATGATGTGCTCATTCATGTAGTGCCATTTTCGATGAACTGTTAATTTGAATGTGCAGGATCTAAGGGTGCTCGTGGAAGCAGAAGCGGTGTGCAAGAAAGTAGTGAAAGAAGGAGGAGTGGAAGGCTAAATAAGGAAAGGGAAGTCTGTAATGAAAAACATAAGGATGTGGTGGTGCCTGATACCGAAGAGGGCAGTGAGGAAGACTTGAATGAAAGGGAAGAAGCTGTCAGTGATGAAGACTTCGTTAATTTACCAAAAGAAGTGGTGAAAAACGATAGAGCATGTGAGGGCAGACAAAAAAGAAGGAGAGGAAGGCTGTTTTGAATGAGCTGAAGGTGCAGTACCATAGCCTATACACAAGATCATCACCGAATGTGGTGATGAATGCTTTGGCAAAGTTGACTAACAAACAGCGAGAACAAGTGCATGAAGTGGGCTTTGGATCGTTATTAGAACTAGGAATCCAAGAGTTGCCTTCTAAACATGGTTATTGGATTGTGGACAACTTCGACCCAATTAGTTGTTCACTGAAGATAGGTAAAGGAAGGAAAGTTCACATCACTGAAGAAGATGTGGAGATGGTTTTGGGATTTCCACGTGGTCAAACAGCAGTGTTAAAGAAGGGGAAAGGGGAGAAAAGTGAAATGGTGGATGAGTGGAGGGCTTCTTTTGGCGGAAAAGATAAGGTAACTCCAATAGAGGTGGCACGTGAAATGCTAAGATGTGAGGAAGGAGGAGATTGGTTTGTAAGGAACTTCATAATTCTTGTTATATCTACGTTGATAGAGAATACAAGAAACGGATACATCAACTGTTCCTTCATAAACAATTTGAAGGACACAAAAAAATTAAAGATTTAAATTGGTGCGAATACGTGATAACGGCTCTAATTGAGAAGAAAAGGGAATGGGCTCAAGGAAAGGAAAAAGCATTCACCGGTCCGCTCATTTTCTTGATGGTAAGTGCATCCTATTTTGATATAAATGTTGTTCAATATGCAGCTTGTGTGATATTTAGGTAGGATCCTGTTTTATAAAAGGTGTGGTGCATGTATTTAAGATTTGTTCTTTAAGAATGATGAATAAGTTGATTTGTTTGTTAATGCGAGTGTATTAAAGTGCATTCGTAGTTACGTGAAAGTGCATTTTAAGGACACATAAAATGAATTGGGTGTGATGGAAAACAAGGTGCATAATATATAAGGTAAAGGTGCAAATGAATGTTGAGTGTGCAAGATTTGATGTGATTGTGATGAAGTTAGTATGCATATTAAAGTACTTGAATATAAAGAGTGTGTGGTATTTAGGTTGGGTCCAGTTTTATAAAAGGTGTGGTGCATGAATTTAAGATTTGTTCATAACACTGATGAATTAGTGATTTAGTTAGGAATTGTAATTTCTGAAAGTGCATTTACAGTCAAGTGAACTAGCATTTTAAGGCCATATTAAGTGATATTTTTTTGTGAGGGAAAACAATGTGCAAAATACTTAAGGTAAATATGCAAATCAATAATGAGTATGCAAAATTTGATGTGCTTCTGATGAAGTTAATATTCATATGAATAGCGTTAATAAAGTTGAAGTAATTCTTTTATTCATATATTTTGTAGGTGTTATATGTGGATAGGATGGTGGTATATAGAAGAAGCGTTCCAAGGAAGGTTCCAGCTCTAATAGGATGGAACACACCGTTATTGAGGGAGAGAGAATCAGAAGAAATAGAGGCTGGAGGATTTGGTTTAGGGTATCTAGACGAGAAGATGACAATCACCCGAGAGACCGGGAAAAGTGTCCATGCTGAAGAAAAAACAGAGGATGTGGGAGAGCCCTCGATAGCACCGGGTGCAGAAGAGGTATAGGAAAATAATGTGTTTATGTGCAAATAGAAGACTACATGTGGGGTGCACTTATTTGTATTGTAGCATGCTTATGAAGGAATTAATGTGCAGATTAGTTATTTTGATGTGCAATTATGTGTACTGTTGTGTGCTTGACTCCTCCTTTTCCAGATTGTTGCTTCTAAGTTAGCGAAAAAATTTATCTTTTTTTTTGCAAATTACAGGACGTTCGGAAACGCTTTGCTAATAAGGCCATGACATTTGTTAAGAAAACGACTGAGATCATGAAGATGTTAGATGAAGCTCCTGATGTACTTCGTGGAAGTGAAGAGTTCAAAGAGTTAGGTGAAGCGACGAATATGTTGATGGCTGTTTTACAGAAACATTCTCAGGATTTTGCCACACCTACACAGATGGACAGGGAGATGGAGGTATTTTGGCCGAACTCGGTCAACCTTGAAATCTTAGCACACGCTGAGGTGGATAGTATAAAGAGAACAAACGTTCCTCAAAGGAGGGAAGATCTGCCAACATTTAGTATAGGTCTCACACAAGACATTGCACCGAATGAAGTAAGAGATGGTGCTCTTCTGGGGTTTGAGAAGAACAGTATACAAGAAAAGGGGAAGGACAAAGCTGATGGCAGTGTGCAGTTTGTTTTAAATGACGAAATGGTAGCGGGTGGGGGTCAATCAAGTTCACATGTCAATCCCTTGCCGGAAATCAGAAAGGTAATAAAAAAAAACTGTAAAAAGGAGTGATGTTTTGACAGAGTGCAGATGAACTGGAAGGTGTATGCAGATTTTGTTTGCTTGAAAAGTGAAGAGTACTATTACTGTTAATATTTTTTTACATGAATGCCAACAGGAGATTGTAGAGACAGAAGAATTGGGGCAGCTAAAAAGAAAACAAACTGCTGGAGCTACAATGAAATCACCCTACTTAAGAAGAGTTATCGATCCAAGTGATGCATTAGCCGTAGTTGAACGCGCAATGGGCGGTTGGATACTTCTTGACGTTGATGGAGATGCGTAAGTGCACTGTGAAATCCAAATTTGATTTTTACTTTAAACATGTGGGAAAATATTAGTGCATGCACATAACTAATTGAATGCAAACTGTATAGGAATGAGGTTATTTTCAAAGGCGTTAACCAATTGAAGCTTACCCGCGGACAACTGATGAGCATCAAGGATGGTTGCCACATTGAGGAAAGTGTAATCAATGCTTGGGCATTCACGTTAAATTGTAAAGAGAAAGACCGAAGCAGTGAGTCTACCAGTAGAGTATTTGCTAAAGTCTTGCCCTGTGTAAGTACACATTAAAAAATAACTAATTGTTTTGTTTATTTATTTTAAATTGTATTTAGTACACAATGTATGAATATTACAGCTGAGTTTAAGTACTTTGGAATTGTGTTGTAGCTTGAGACACAGGCAGACCTGGGATTGAGTGCTGACAGTGCTTACCCCCTTTTTGTGGAAGCCATTGAATTTGGGTTGGAAGCAATAAAAGTCCACACTGCACTTTCAAAAGTTGATTTGGTATGCATGTTTTATTGAATTATAATGCATTGCTATTAATTTGCAAATTGTAAAAAATGGTTATTTTGGTGCAGTTTTTCTTCCCGATAATGCAAGTGCATCACTGCTATGTACTTTGTCTGAATACTAAGCTGAAGCGTGTGGATATCATTGATAGCTCATCTGCTAGAGCGCGCAATATTGATAAATACGGGGAAATGCCTCAAATAGTGGTACGCAATAATATTATGTAACTAGTACTTAGGGTAAGGTGCACTGTCGTAATTTTTTGGGTACGTGATAAATTAAATTACTTTTGTGCAGATGAATATGTTTGTGAAGTACATGGATTCAAGAAATATGATGAGCAAATCTGAGAGAGTAAGGAAGGCAACACCAAAGAGGCTAGGAATGGAGTGGAGGCAGACGAAGAACTTGTACGACTACGGCATTTTCACAATGCGGCATATGGAAACATATCAAGGTCAAGGCTTGCAAGGATGGAATATTGGGCTGAAGGAAACAGACACAAAACTGGTAGGGATGTTACGCGTGAAGTACATTTCTGCAATACTCGTGAATGAAAATAATGAGTACATGCAGTCAAACTTAGTGAAGGCAAGGAATTTTGCAAAGAAAGCTAAAGAAGAGAAACAAATGCTGGCAGACCGAAAGAAGGGAGCAACGGCCAATTAGTGAATTTAGTGAAATTTGAAGTTCATATCTGTTTGACTCTGTTTTCACATTACAGTTTACAATGACGTATTTGGATTTTTAAATTAAAAAAGGTTTGTAATTGTTGTTTGTGTGTGATTCAAGACGTTGAATACAATTTCTTTCTAATATATGTTCAAGGTTTACATGAGTTTTCTTTAATTTGATTTATGCTTGTAGTTAATTTAATTAAATTGCATAACATCCAATATTTTCAAATAGTAATTAATTTTGCATGAGATAATCGATTGTGAATGTATATAATTCAAAGTAATTAATAATGCAGCATGTGTAAATCCAGGGTGCAGTTGAATATATTTTCTGGTGCACATTATTGGGCTATTGCAACATTTGGGATTGAAGTGTGCACTTTAGAATATGATCCTGTGAATTTTTTTTAATTACATTTGTGTAAATGTATGTTGTAATTACAAGTAATTTGGAGTACAACTTAAGTTATAATTACATTTGTGGATATATGGTGCACTTAGGAAAAATTACCTTTGTGAATTAAGTTGTAATTACATAGTCTATTCCATTCTGGTCGCGTATTTACTGATCAAAAAATAAAGAAAAAGGACCAAAGTATGGGGAAACAAATTGAACGTATATGAGTAGTCTTGGATAGTGTAGAAATGTAGGGTGCACATAAGTGTATTCGAATATGCATACAAATGATGTTTACAAATGATGTAATTTATAAAACACAAAACAATATTCGCAGATATAATTTGTCAAAAGTCTAGATCCAACGGGGTAAAAAACAAAGATAATCCAGTAGCTATTTATTCAACGGACAATTCCGGCTATCATGATGGCTCATCTCATTGCACGAACGACAAAGTCTCTTGGGACGTTTAGATTCTTGGATAGAAAGCTCTTTGGAAGACTTGATCCTACGTCCTGAACCTTTATTCCTGGCCTGTTGTGGAGGATGAACTGTGATGACAGAAGGCGCAGTGGAACCATAAAAGGACTCAAATACTGACTGCTTCGTTGATGACTGTGCAACCCCGCTCTGAAGGGAAAGAAGAATCTCTTTCTGATCTTTAATAATGCCTGAAAACTGTTGCAAGTAACCTGGGTTATTTTCAACAAGAGCCATGCATGCATATATATCAGACCATAGAGAGTTCACACACATCTTATTCTCCTGTAACGTGACATTTTGCTGAAATACGGAATCAGAGATTTTGGACAACGGTTTGATTAAACCCTTCTTACACCAACGGGTATTAACTAAATGTTCTGGAATCTGTTCAACTTTCAAATCTTTTAAGACAAGAAAGATGTGACGACAAACCAATCCAATCCGCTGGAAGAATTTACAACTACATTCCGCCTTCATATCTGAAATTTCAAAATGAACTTTAAACACCAAATTCCGATCATCACGAATTTCGTAGTCAAAAACACCATCACGGCCATCAAGATGTAACACGCGACATGCAAAACAAGCTGAACATATTTCCGTTTGCAGGTCATAAAAAACAGAGAGCGTGAAGACATCAGCGGCTGCCTTTTCCATTGTTAAAGGTGTCTTGAGATCTGGAATGTAAGACTCCGAATCAGAATTCAATTTGTCATTATTATGCCTCTGTGCATCCATTGCACTCTCAAACTGCATTAAAAATTCAACTAAGCTAAAGTGTGGGTTAGTAAATTCCCGAAAGAAGGAATTCTCACTCTCAGAGCGCGACGTGGTACGAAGCAAACCAGCCATAAAAGTATCTCTAAAATAAGAAGGAATCCACCATCTGCGCAACTCAAACATGTGACAAAACCAATCATGTGCTGTCAAGTCATATTCTTTCATGAGAGTTGTCCACTTAGCTTCAAATTAGGTTGTGTCAAGATAATGACTCCACACAATTGAATTCAATGACGACATAAAAGCTTGATTATTACTTAAGACCGGACCTACCTTCTGTGTAACTTTTGACATAATATGCCACATACAATACCGATGTTTGGAAGTTGAAAAAACCTTCTCAATTGCAATGCGCATAGCTGGGTCTTGGTCTGTAATAATGCAGGTCGGTTCACGTCCCATTGCATGCATGAAACGTGTGAAAAGCCAAGTGTAGGAATCCACATCCTCCTTAAGTAACAAACCGGCGCCAAAGGTAATGCACTTTCGGTGATTATCAACGCCTGTGAAAGGACCGAAGACCATATTGTACCTGCCAATATAATAAATAGAATTTACCAATTGAGCAGCCAAATGGTAGGTGCATAATTCAGTTATGATAGATGCAAACCACATATGGTCAAGGTGCACATAATTCAAATTTCTGAATAAAATTCAAATAATTCGTCTGGAATAGAAAAAAACAAACCTATTTGTTCCATACGTAGCATCAAATGAAACAACATCACCAAAGAGTGCATAGTTCTTGCGGCAAATGGGATCCGCCCAAAACAATCTTGTGAGCTGCTCACTATCATCAACATCATAATCAAAGAAAAAAGCGGAGCACACCTCTTGTTTCCTGAATAGCTTATCAATGACCATTTGGGCATCGACTCCAGATATGTAGGTCATAAGGTCGCGCTTAAAGTTCTTAAAATCCACAACAGTCGCGCCAATGTTAGAATAACCCCCTACAGTCTCCTTATACAACCTATATGATTTCTTTGTACCAATATTTGCTCTAAAACAATTTAAAACAAACTTTTGATGACCGAGATCTAAATTCCTATTAACTTTTAGGAATTGTTTTGACTGTTCAGAACACATGGAATGATTGTGACGCTCCTCAAACGCAAAGACAGAAAAACCATCATTACGAGCAAATTTTAGAGTTAAAAGTGCTTTGCATCCAATCCTATTTGACACCCGTTTTCTATCTTGCTTACTACCTTTTGATGTAGAAACACCACTATCAACGACAGCAGGGACAACGGTATTAACTACAGTAGTACGTCCATTATTCTTATAACCTGCTCTACTACATAACAAATAATTAAACTTAGGATGACCATCCTTGGCCTTCGTTAATGTATGCTTACGAACCGTGAAACCCACTTCAGCTGCATACACTTTGTAAAATTCAATGCCAGCTTCTAGATCAGGAAAGAGCATGCCAACAAATGGTTTCTTATTAGGTTGACATTCAGGAGTCCAATACTTTGTAGAATCAGGAGAAATTTCTATATTACATTTCACACCTATATAAAAGAAATAACACCAAAAAAAATAAAAATTGGATATAAGAAAAAATGGATAACAATACACGTATTTGCATTGGAAGTGCACCATGAATAAAATATTTCTGCATGTTAACTACGAACTTTGACTAGGAGGAAAAAATGAAAAAAAAATCAAGCTATGTTTGAAAGGAAGGGATGTAAAAGTACTACAGTGAATCCTTGTGCATGCAAACCGCAGAACATAAACAACCATGAATTTCACAGAAGTATAATGTGACAGTAGCATTGTTAATTATTCAATCAATTTTCATCTTAAATGAAAAAAACAACATAATCTGCAACTCTTGGGCGTTAAATGGCAGTTGAGATATTTTGGAATCAAACACAATTCCTACGCCATTCTCATAGAAGTTTTTTTGTATTCAAATTCAGATCATGAACCCCACCTGATTCAGATTCCACGGCGTTTGAGGACATCCTGATTAAGCTAGCCTTTCAACGACACAAGAATGGAGAGAAGCAGATGAAGCGCAGGGATGAGATGAAGGCGCAGCAGTTACTCGACTACGTGGTGAGGACTACGTGGTGTTGATCGCAAATATGGAAACAGAGTGTTAAGGAAAGAAAGCTGGAACATGATTCTATTTCCATGTTTAGACAAAGTTGCATTGCCCAAAAAAACCCTCACGTGGATTCGGTGTAGGGCGTACAGCCGGCCAAAATATTGGCTTAGATGGAGGGCTGTGATTAGTTTGCATTTTGTAAATTAAGATGGGTTTGTATATGATCCCAATTCTATATATATATATATATATATATATATATATATATATATATATATATATATGTATGTATGTATGTATGTATGTATGTATGTATGTATGTATGTATGTATGTATGTATGTATGTATGTATGTATGTATGTATGTATGTATGTTCCCTGACATATTTTAAAAACACAATTATCAAGTCTAATCAGATATGTTTAAATCTCATGTGATTTGATAGAGATTTTTCTTATTTATTTTTACATTGTGGAAACTTAATCTGTTTGGCATTAATTAATGTTTAATGTCCCGATAACTACAGTCTAGAGAGATATTTCAAATAAAAGGAACAAGAATAACGTGTTTCTTGTCTTTTTGCTGCAACCCACATTACACATCCTCAAAGAAAATGGTGGTGAGGTTACCCCTGCATAAAAAGTTTACCCATACCTTAGTTAACCAGAACATCCAGCCTAGTTGGTTGTGAGGTTACCCCTGCATAGGAGAGGTCTCGTGTTCGAGTCCCACTAGCACCAGTGGTACTATGCTCCCGCAAAAAACCCTTCAAGTGGTAGGGCCAAGCGGTGTATACTAACCCGTAGGGCCAAGCCAAACTTGGGTTTCTGGGGAAGGGGCCGTGAAAGCGGTGAAGCTAGTCACTATAAAAAGTTTACCCATACCTTAGTAACCAGAACATCCAGCCTAACTGGTTGTGAGGTTACCCCTGCATAGGAGAGGTCTCGTGTTCGATTCCCACTAGCACCAGTGGTACTATGCTCCCCCCAAAAACCTTTCAAGTGGTAGGGCTAAGCGTGTATACTAACCCGTAGAGCCAAACCAAAGTTGGGTTTCTGGGGTAAGGGGTCGTGAAAACGGTGAAGGTAGTCACTATGCTAAAAATGCATAGGGCCTCTGCAAGTATCGAGGAAAGAGCCTCACTTTCTATATCTCAGATTGAGATTATAGTCCAATTTACATTCTCCCAACGTACCATCCGGTCGGGGTTGGGGACCCTCAGGGATGGGGTGGTCATCCTTTTTTTTCCTCAAAGAAAATGGTTTGGACTCAACCGGGAAGTGGTCTGTTTTGTACTCTTACATTTTTTTGAGTTAGTTCACCACTTCACTGCACTTTCACTTTTTAATTTCTCCCAATTATTATTTTTATGTATTTCTTACTTTTTCCGTCAAAGCAATTTGACCCCACTAAGACCGGTACGAATATGCCACGTCATCCAATATTCCATTACCTTGAACAAAGCCTGCCGGCCGGCCGGCCCCCTCACACTTCACGCTGATGGTAGAGAGGGAGGGGTTGTTTTGCTTTTTCCATCTTATATTTGCCTCAACAGAATAAAAGCCATTACTTACTGTTATTTCTTTATTTTTATCAAGAAACATTGAGTATCCCCATAAACAACCCCCCTTTGTAAGGCTTCCTCTCCTTTCACACACATTTCCCCCTTTTTTTCAAGTGTTCTTCCTCCTCATACATCTACGAATCATTTCCTGCGTCTCCTTTTTCACACCTGTGTTCAAGATATAATAATGAGAGGACAGATGGGTATTGGGAAGTACCCCTCAAGTGATGGGAATGGAGAGGTTAGCAGTGGTGGTGGAATTATAAAACACAACAGGAAATGCAGAGATGTGGTTTTTCTGGCCATCTTCATCGCCTTCTGGGTGGCTATGCTCGTCAATTCCAGCTTTGGGTTCAACCAAGGAAACCCTTTAAGGTATAATCCAAGAGCCTACTTCTTGCTTTATGTTATATTCCCCATACAACTAGATGCAATTCGACCTGATTTTTCCTTTTTTTTTCTTCACCTTGATCCCCTATTCGATATTGGGATTAGTCTTGCTTCTCAGCAAGTTTTGTAATTTTTGGTTTTTGTGCATGTAACTTGGGGTTTACTTTTCTTTCTAAGGCTGGTTCTGTTTAGTAACCTTGTTCTTCTCATCTGCACAATAAGAAGGATGACCAGAATACATACTTTTTTACTTAGCTGGAGCCTTTTTTGCTAAGGGTTATAATTCTGATATGACCAGATAGGTTTTAAATGAATTTTGTGCTAAATAAGTAAGTTTAAGCTACTAATTGTGCTTATTCTGATGGGAAGCGTTGGTCTTTTCAACCCATTTTGACTTCAAAATTGACATTTTCACCCCATATTTTTTTTTATTTGACTTTGCTTCCAGTGTCCAAAAGTGGGGTGCACCATGACATACTAACATAGTCATAGGGTGTAAACTATATATTTGAACATGAATATGAACGAATGAATACCTCAATAAGTGTTGGGCATGCTATATTTGGTTGGTTTTGCAGGTTAAGTTATGGCTTGGACTATAAGGGCAACATTTGTGGTGACAGACACGCAGACCCTAACCTTCATGAGCTGGACCTTAGGTATTGGTTAAACCCCAATGAGGTGTATCATAGTGGTTCTAAGGACAGTGACATCAGGCTTGCAAATGCCAAAAGCATTTGCTTGTTGGACTGCCCTATCCCTTCTGAAGATTCACTAAATTGGGTCTGCGACTATCCTGAGGGCGACATTCGTCTCTCCGTTGATGATTGGATTGACAGAAACTATGATTATTTTGCTGACCTCACCCCTGATTTAAGGAACACATCCCTTCAGCTTCAGGGTCCTTGTTACCCTGTCATATTTCCCAGTGTCAATGGTGAGTTATTCATTCAATCTTCCCTTACGATTTTCTATCTACTTTTAGAGTGTGTTCGAGTTCCTCTAAGTGCAGGATAAGGAAGAAACACGGTAATAGGAGTTAATATGTTTTCAATATTTTACATATGTTCAGATTTTTAGTCTTTACATAATTGAAAAAGTAATAAATACGATTTTGAAATAATATAAAAGAAAATATTTAGTTTGAACCAATGTTAATTCCTGCACAGTTTCTTGCTTTCCAAGATTTCCTTATATTTTCGTCCATATTTTATTTACCTAGTATTTTCCAAGCCAGATTGAACTGTTATTATACTTTGGAGGGAATGTATTGTTCAACAAGAACTCAGTGTGCAATATGCCAATATGAGTATATGACAATGTGTTTTACTTTATATTTCCAGTTTACTGGAGCTGCCAATTTATTGCCCGCGCATCAAATGTGTCTTTGAGGCATTGGAAGGAGATGGGAGGGATTGAGATTTTTGAGGATATTGTAATTGATAAAGCAATTCATAGGTTCATTAACTCCCGATCATCAGTGTTTAAGGTTGACACTCCCTTTACCTACCCCGGACTTTCTATTTCTTATTCATGATTGCTTAAGCAGGATTTCTTCCAGCCTGCCATGTAGCTAACTTTAGAAATATTTATGATACTTTTTTTTTTTAATTCAGTTCACTCTTAGCTACATAACGTAAAGCAGTATGCCCTCTGTTTCAAAATATCTATGCTTAAAGGTTGTTTCACACTGATAAAGAAAATCATTTAATAGGAACAATGGGCATTATGCGATGACATAAGTCTTTGTATAGAACTCTTTTTAAAAATCTTTATACTACCTAAGAGCATTGAATACAAAGAATTTACTCTTCTCCCATGCTTGACACTATATAACAAAATAATGAGGTCATTCACAAAAGCTAAGAGAAGTTGGAAGAAAACATTTAAATGCTCTAGAAAAACAAAAAGTGATTTTGAATCGGATTGATTGATGTCTTTGCCGCTTAACTTCATAAGGAGTACTTTAATTTTCTTTATTTTGTATTTGATTCCAATGCAAGAATCTGAATGCTCTGTACTGTATTAGACAGTGAATAGAAATTTCATATCAATGTTATGGGTGTGATAAAGATTGGTCATTAATCACATTTACCAGAACACACTTCGTTTTGTTTCATGTATTATTATATACTGTAATACAATGGGAACACCTTTTCATTGTTTGATGTATTTGCAGAGATATGTTGCTGATATTGGAAAATCTTGGCTTGTCCTAATAGTTTGTGGAGGGATTTTACCAGTGTTCTTATCTATTATGTGGCTTTTGATGATTCGGCACTTTGTTTCTACCATGCCGTGGATAACTGTCATCTTATTTAATATCATCATTATATCAGTAACGATGTTCTACTATTTAAAGGGTAAGGGGATGTCTTTATTAATATCTGGTGTGTGTTTGCTTGAATAACCACTCTAAGTCTCTATTCTCTAATAGAATACAAGAGTTGTGCTTATTTTCCTTCTCTGTTGTTTCTAGCCGGATGGATTGGAAATGACGCGATTTCGCCGGTCATTGGTGATCCCGACCCGTATTTTCATGTATCAGCAAGGGTACAATTTTATTATTATTTATCTTGACGGGTTTGCTGATGTTAGTTTCACTTTTCTTTGTTACCTGTTACTTATTCACAAGATTTACCGTGTAGGAAGTAATCCATCTCCATGTTGCTGCTGTTATTATGACAGCTGTAATGATTATTGCTTTGTTATCGTCTATAGCAATAGTGAGACGCATCCTAATGGCAACATCTGTTCTCAAGGCAAGTTCAATATATTTTCTTTCTATATGCCTCAGGTACGTTTGGAACTCATAAAGTGCTATGAATAAAAATATAGAGAGAAAAATATAGAGGAAATTCAGAAGGAAAGAATGTGAGGAAAAAAATACTTCATACTCAATATATGAACTTTCCATATTTGTTGAAACCCGTTTTAGTTGAATATTTCTATCATATAACGACTACAGAATCTAAATATATATGAACATCCAAAAAAGTTTCAATCAAATTGGATCTTACTTCATACATTCCAAGGTAAAGCCAATTATTTAAAAAATCCTCCCCCTTCCCCTACTATCTTTTGAGTTCCAAACATAGCCCATAGGACCATTTTGCATGTGCACACACTTACAAGGATCTCATTCATGTTCAATGATATGCATATTGGCTTTACAATATCAAACATGTAATGAAATATGACATCAGTTGGCATTATAAGATTCAGTGTATAGTTTTTGAGTTTTGACAATTAGTTGGCAATTCAAAGTTTCATGCCGCTTTCGGTGGCATTTTACGAATTAGTGTGATGATGAGAGAAGTATAAAGATTGAGCAAATATTTCAGTTTTAAGTTTTAAGTTAAAAGTTTAAAACACCCTCTCATTTTGCAAATGCTATCTTTCAGTTGTGACAATTAAGTTTACAATAAATAACATGTTCAACAGGTTGCTGCTAAAGTGATTGGAGAATTACATGCCCTAATCATGTTTCCGATAATTCCATATTCCATCCTGGCAATCTTTTACATGTTCTGGTTTTCAGCTGCTCTCTATCTTTTTAGTTCTGGACGGGTTGTCCAGAACGACTGCACGACCAACTGTTGTGCTTATGATCTTAAAGCAAAAAGGGTGATGTGTGACCGTTGCTGTGGATACACCATCCAACCCACACCACACATAACTGCTGCAATTCTTTTCCACCTGTTTGGATGCTATTGGGCCACTCAGTTTTTTGTGGCGTGCTCTTCGACCATCATTGCGGGCACCGTTGCTTCATATTATTCGGCCTTAGGTGTATCTTCGGTGAGATCTCAAAGCTTTACCTCTTCTATGGTTTTTTCCTTGTAAGGTTTGACATGGGTCAGGTTTGGGATGTCCTGATCCCTGATTTAGAACACATAAACTTTTGGGTTATCAATTTTCAGGTTCATAGTTTCAGGTTACAACCAGTAAAATTTTGGTAAGCTGACCCTAAGAACTTCTGATGCATAAATGCATTTCAGGTTTAGGTGGGAATGGGTAGTTTTGCCAGGTTCACATTTCTAATCTGAAATTTTCAAATTAATTTATAGTATTCCAAATGAAAATATCTGTGTTTATACGTCTATAAAACAGTGGAGTAAAAAGTAGTCTCCAAATAGATACAATATGCACATATATGTCGATCAAAGTGTGTAATTTTCTAGATGAACCCTAAGTAATAAAAATTTCAATATGATGAGTCATTGAATTAATCATCATCATTATCATTACCCCAGTGCCGCAAAGGCTCCCACCTACGGTGGGGTAAGGGGGGGGGGTCGGATGTACGCAGTCTTACCCCTGTACTAAAGCACAGAGAGACTGTTTCCGAATGACCATAGTGAAAATCGCGTCGAAAATTGCATAGACTGACTGTTACTTCATAACAAAGAAGCGCAGACAGTTTAGTGAGTCATTTTGCTTTATTACATCATAATCATAATCTCAAGCCAAAAAATAGTGAGTCTTTGGCTCCATTGAAAATGATGGAAGAGTCATCGAATTAATACGGTAATTTATTAAAAAGTCTGGGTTTGACATTTTATTGTAAACCCAAGACCCGAGTCATGTTTTGGTAAGTTCATAAATAAATTTGAGACACATGCCCTAGTTATAGGATTTTCCGATTTTGGGCCAAATACAATAGAAACCAGGTTACAATGTTACATGGATACAACATTCATGAAATCTCATTTTGTTTGCATTGCAGAAGGTGGAGATTCCATTTCTCCCGGTTTTCTCATCAATGAAGCGACTTATGCATTACAACCTTGGGTCTGTTGCTATTGGTTCTCTGGTCATATCATTTATTGAGCCTATACGCGTTGTACTTGGAGGCCTTCGTCGCAAGCTTAAAACTTGTAATTCTGCACCAGAAAGCTGTTTAGGAAGGATGACATTTCAAACCTCGCAGGGATGCTTGAGATGTGTTAGCTGGACCATCAAATCTGTGAACCGTAATGCTTATATTATGGTCAGTGTTATCATTTGGATCTCAGTTACTGGGAGTACTAATGCCTCTAACCCAAAAAATAGTCTTCTATTTCTGATACTAAAATATTGCAAGCAAAAAGAGTTCTGACTCGCGAAATTCTTTCGTCCTTGAGAATTAGGCAATAATACCCCAAAAAAAGACTCTGCACAGTAAAAGAAAAATCGGCATATCCATTAGGGTCAATTAATGAGCTTCTTTAGTTGGGTAAACGGGACATTTGAATTCGATGTCAATGAGGGTTTTTGTTGAAAGTCCCGGTCAATATTTGGGCATTTTGCACATTGCTATTAAAGGGTCAATAGGGGGGTGACTATTGGTTTTTGTTGATTCGTTGTATGGTTTTACAGATAGCTATAACAGGAAAGAATTTCTTCAAAGCATCAGAGATGGCAACGGAACTGATTATCAGTAACATTCTTAGAATAGGAAAGGTGAATGTGATTAGCGATGTGATTCTCTTCCTAGGGAAGCTACTGGTGAGTCTCACAAGTGCTCTCTTTGCCTTCCTCATGTTGGATTCTCACAAGTACAAGTCCACAAGTGACAAGATCTCCTCCCCGCTTTTCCCCGTTCTGGTATGTCGCCTTTTTTGTCTTATCTTCATCCAGGGAGATATTTTCTTTTTCGCGAATGTAATATTTTCTTTAATGTGATGGAGGATACAGGTGTGTTGGGGCATTGGATACGTTGTTGCAACCCTCTTCTTTTCAGTGGTGGAGTTGTCAATTGACACTATTATCCTTTCCTTTTGCCAAGACTCAGAAGAGCACCAAGGAAATCCCCAATATGCCCCGCCTCTTTTGATGGAGACTTTTGACCACCAGAATGAATTGCAGAGACTAACACAATGACTGTCCTGAAATCCCATCCCCATTGGTAAAGTCAGTTAAAATGTCACACCCACCAGGGCTTGTACCAGTTTAGGTGAAAGTGATGCTTCTTTGAAGCTACTATGTTTTGGTCCGTCAGCATCTAGATCTATTTAGGTAGGGAGCCGTCGGACAGAGGGTTTGGTGGGCTGATATGATGAATCCTCAGTACCAGATCCATTGTGGTCTACCATTTTTCTCTGCCTTTGAGTCTTCGACTCATGCTTGTACTTCAACTGTATATAGTTTCAAATCAAGATCTCCCTTCTATGTCATGTCATCATTGAAATTCCAAACTGAGGAATGAAATCAATAGTCTATTTACTAAGGATGAATTTGGTGGAATCTATAGAACTTGCTCAGGTAGTTGGGATTGATATTAATAAATGATGAATATCATCATTATCATTACCCCAGTGCCACAGAGGCTTCCACCTAGGAGGGATGGACCCAACCGGTTCGGCCCGGCCCGGCTTGCCACTATGCAGGCCCGGACCGGCCCGGTTGGTGCTAACCGGACCCGGGCTTTTACCCGGCTGGGGAGGGTTGGGTGGGCCGGGCTCGGGCCCTGTTTTTGTTGAACCGGCCTGGGCGGTTCGGGTTGGGCCCGGGCTTTTTTTATTTTTTTTTTGGTTTTTTCAATTTTTTTTTGTTTTTCTTGGTTAGGGCTGGGTGTTTTGGGGGGGGGGGGGGGGGTTGGGGGGGGGGGTGAATGGGGGGGAGGGGTCGGGGGTTAATTAGAAAGCAAAAAAAAAATTACATTGACCCAGGCCCGGCCCGGCTCGGTTAGGCTCGGACCTGATATTAACCCGGGCCGGTTTCGGGCTCAACAATTTGGAAAAAAGCCCTCCCGGGCCTGGCCTGGAACCGGAACCAGACCGGCCTGGGTCTATCCCTACTCCTAGGAGTGGACTCGGGTTGGGCCAACCGGCCCGGAACTGGACCGGCCCGCTACTGTGCGGGCCCAGCCCGGCCCGGTGAACCGGTTGGTTGCTCGGTTCGGGCCACCCGGCCCGGTGGGATGGCGGTTCGGGCTCGGGCCCTTTAAAAGGTGAATCGGCTCGGCCGATTCGGGCCCGGGTCGGACCAATTTATTTATTTATTTTTTTGATTTTTTTTTAAGTTTTTGGGTTGGGCTGGGTATTTTGGGCCATTTGAGGTGGTTAGGGTTGGTTTGGGGGTGAGGGGGAGAGTTAACTAGGAAAAGCCAAAAAAAAAAATAGAATCGAGGCCCGGCCCGGACCCGGGGATTACCCAGGCCAGTTTCGGGCCTCCCCTTCATGAATCGCGGCCCGGACGGGCCCGAACCGGAACCGGTCCACCTCTACCTACTCCCACCTACAGTGGGGTAAGGGGGATCGGATGTACGCAGCCTTACCCAGTCGCCCCTTTAATAAATTGATGAATATGAAGGGAAAAAATATTTACAATAGATCTTATTGATAAAATAAATGGTGCACACACATCTAAATAAGTTCGTATGACAGTATTTCTGAAGTGAATCCATTGCCTCCATGGTGTTTGGTAACATCATAAAGATGATTCAACACTTTTAAATTTTAGTCTTCATATTATTAATCAATTATAATAAATGTATTATTAAATTTTAATGATTATTAAATTATTAATGATACTGTCAAATTTTAAAATATTTTTTTCTTTTCTTTTTTAAATTTTGTAAATCATGCCTTGAAACTTGAAAGTGAAACACTTCCAGTGTTCTTCATCTTGTTACAATAGGCACACATTAGGGCTGCACAAGAATAACTCGAACCCGCATAACCCGCTTGGTCAAATCGTACATGGCCATTTTTAATCGGGTATTTGATTTTAAAAGATATTCATGGGTTAAATATGTATGAACCTGCACCTAATGGGTAGGGTTGCGGAATTAAGATCTCAAACCCGATAGTAGCCGACCTGACCGATAGTTCAATTTACTATTATTACACTACAACGTATGTTTTGTTGGATAATTTTTATTTGAGAGTTCAGACCGTTGTGTTCTATACTTCTATCTAAGACTTTATGATATTGTGGCATTATAAACATTTATCATTTTGACTAGGTGATTATATTTGTGTGTGTGTATATTTCGGAAACAAGTTAATTGAAATTCATATTGCATGCATTAATTTCCCGTAATAAAGATCCGACCCGAAGTATTTTTTTTTCAATACCCAACCCTACTCTACATGTTCATGTATGGTTTACCAACTTATATTGCATACCGCAAGTCAATAAGTAGCCAACCCAAATAAATTGGGTAGGCCCAAAAAATATAGCAAACCCGACTCAACCCGATGTGCAGCCCTAAGCCCCTAACACACATGACCATAAATAGAGGAGGAATTGCTATATTTTTTGGGCCTACCCAATTTATTTGGGTTGGCTACTTATTGACCTGCGGTCCGGTTCCGGTTCCGGGCCGGGCGGGCTTTTTTTGTACAAACATGGGCCCGGAACCGGCCCGGGGTGATACCGGGTCTGGTCCGGGTTGGACCTACCCGGCCGGGTAGTGGGCTGGTTCGGGCCGGGCCCTGGCTATTTATTTATTTTTTAAATATTAAATTAAGATTAGTTGGACATATAAAATTTAAAATATATTTATTTGAAATATGTAGTACAATTGGAAATTGAGCAAAAATTAAAACATGAAATACACTTTTTAATAAATAAGAATCAATCGGAATTTCCGCCATCTTCGGTTGTTTCTTCCATAAAGTGGAGGGTGGGTTCAATGCTAATTTCTTGAGTTCTACGTTTGGCCTTCAACCAATTGTGGAAGCAAACAAGCGTCTTAAGAGAGTTTGCGCTCAATCTCGTTCTATAATCCGTTAGGACGTTGCCGGCCGCACTAAACTCTTGTTCCACAGCAACTGTTGATACCGACATTGCTAGCACTTGCTTAGCCATTTTTGATAAGATCGGGAACGTTCTCTCTTTTTCCTTCCACCACTGAAGAACGTCAAAGTCATCCCCTTCTTCATACCCAACAGGAAATGTTAGATACAAAGAAAGCTTGTTGATCGAGCTTTGTTCATTAACCGGAGTTGATTTACTTTTTTTCATAAGATTGCCAAATGCAGATTTCAAAATTGATTTTCCTTTAGATGAAGAAGATGTTCGTGGCAGGGGAGGGGGTGCGTTACCATATTGTGCATGAAACTCATTAAATAATTGATATAATAAATTACTAACCTCTTGAAATTGTTGTTTTGGGTCTATAGCCTTATCGTCGTACATAGGCAATGGACCAAAACAAGAAGCATAATAGTAATCTAAACATTGTTCCAAAGAAGCAAGTCTAAAACGAGAATCAAGAATAAATGCAATACTATATATATGCGGAATATAGGAATAATATTTTAAAAACTTTTGTTTCATGAAGTCACAAAACTAACTAACGTAAGCGGCATAAGCAAATTCACAAAAAGCGCCGGCGAGATTAACAGGTTCAACAAAAAATTGGTTTGCGGTAGATTTATAAACATGACTAAAAGTTTGAGTTGCATTATTAAAATATATTAAAACATTCAAAACTTTTTCACAAGTGTCGATGTCGGCCGGGATTATAATATAGTTAGCATATTCTTTTAAAAAAGCAGGAAAATGGTTTTTAAATCTAATGAGCACCTTAATTAAGTTATAAGTACTATTCCAACGAATAGACAAATATTTAGGAAAAACACAATATTTGACACGTCTTTCTTTCAAATAATTTCTCCATTGCATCTTAAGTTGATTACTAGCCCAAATAAGTTTAACCCCCCCCCCCCCCCCCCTTACCACGTCCATAGCATCTCCCAATGCCGCTAGCCTGTCCTTCAAACATAAATTTAAAATATGACATGCACAACGCTGATGAAAAAACCTACCCATCAAAGAAGATGAACCACACAATTCACGCAATCTAGGAATAACAGCAGTATTATTAGTAGCATTATCAAAACCAATTGCAAACACCTTATTAATCAAATTATACTCACATAAAATACGCTTAATGAGAATATAAATATTATCACCGGTGTGTCTATCATTAAATTCACGAAAAGCAAGAACACGTTTATGCACACACCAATCATCATCAATATAATGTGCAATCAAACCCAAATAGTATAAATGATGATGAGTATCCTCCCATATATCACTACATATACTAACACGTCCATCAAAGTTTGCAAAAAACGTTTGTAATTTTTGTTTTTCCAAATCATATTGCCTTATAACTTCTTTTTTAATTGTTTTGCGACTATAGTTTCGAAATTGGGGATTTAAAGAACCTTGAGCATATTCTTTTAAAGCAAGACTTTCAGAAAAAATAAAAGGCAAATTTTCTTCAACAATTAAATGAGACATACCAGTCAAATGTCTTTGATCATCATAGGAGAAATTACCAAAGGGTTGGCCAGTTGCAAACCTTGAAATTTGTGTGTGACTTCCCTTGCCTTTGTCCGATTTCGCATATTCCGCCGGATGCTTGGCCTTAAGATGCCTTGTGGCGCTCCCGTACCCTCCAGAAATTCCCAAGTTATCTCGGTTTCGAGGTCTTTAACTTTTGTAAAATTTGCCTTAAAGACAGATTCAGATTTCCCACCCGCTTGGGAAGAAGTAGCCACTTCTGCTTCCTCTTCCTCATCGTCCGGTGTGCCATGAACCTCATCCTCGACCGTTCGCGGATCCTTCTCCTCCGCATCATCATCCTCGAGCTCTTCTTTGTCAATGGTTTGTGGGATGTCTTGTTGATGAAAAAACCTCCTTGATTTTGTTGCAATAGTTGTTCTAGTTGCTCATCGGACATCACATCCCCATATCTTTGGTTGTAATCCGCATCAAAATCATCTCGAGTTTGAGATGAAGACCTCGGCCCTCCCTTACATTTGCGTGACCTTGGATGATTCCTCGCAATCTCCTTTGTTCGGTTGTGGCGGAGGTTACCCATATCTACAGAAGCTCTAGCACGCTCCATATTAAAAATATAACAAATATTAAATTCGAATAACAATTAAACAATTAATTTCGAATTAACTAGTTTACCAATTAACTAAAATTCGAACTATTTGTTTTACAATCTAACAACTTTATTTAACAAGTTTAACAATTAACTAGTTTTTATAGGAGATTAATAAATGTAACAATTAACTAATTTAACAATTAAATAATTATTTTTGAATTAACTAGTTTACCAATTAACTAAAATTCGAACTATTTGTTTTACAATCTAACAACTTTATTTAACAAGTTTAACAATTAACTAGTTTTTATAGGAGATTAATAAATGTAACAATTATGTAATTTAACAATTAAACTATTATTTTCGAATTAACTAGTTTACCAATTAACTAAAATTCGAACTATTTGTTTTACAATCTAACAACTTTATTTAACAAGTTTAACAATTAACTAGTTTTTATAGGAGATTAATAAATGTAACAATTAACTACTATTATAAGAGATTAATAAATGTAACAATTAACTAATTTAACAATTAAACAATTAATTTCGAATTAACTAGTTTACCAATTAACTAAAATTCGAACTATTTGTTTTACCAATTACTAAAATTCAAACTAAATGTAACAATTAACTACTTTTATAGCAATGAACTAATACTAAAATGATAAGTGAAACAATTAACTAGTAAGTGTATAAGTAGATATACTTAATATATATATTTATAAGTAGATAATAAGTAGATGAACTAGTAATATATAATATTATGTTTATAGTATATATAATATAAGTATATTACTATAAGATTAGTAATACACTTATATATAATACTTTAATATATATAAGTATATATTAAGTATATCTAAAATGTAAATATAAGTAAATAAATTAGAGATAATTATATATGTAATATCAAATATGTAATATGTAAATTTAAGTAAACAAATATAAGTAACAATAATATAATAATTAGATATTAATATAAGTAGATAATAAATATAATATATGTAGTTATAAATTTGAGAAGATGAAGATGGAGAAGATTAGTAGAGAATAGAGATTAGAGAGTACGAATATTTGGAGAAGATGTGTAGTAAATTATATAGAAAAATAGAGTATTTATAGATTTTTTGTACCCCCACCCCACCCACCCCGGGACCCCCTGGAAGGCTCCCAACGGCTATATAGCCGTTTGGGTTCAATTACAACGGCTCTAAGGCCTGTTTGGATGGCTATTTTTTTTTTAAATGTAGCCGTTGGCCCGGACCGGGCCCAAACCAGCCGGGCCAGGCCGCCTATTTATTGAACCGTGGCCGAACCGCTCCCCTCCCCCAGGCCAGGTCAAAGCCCGAACCTCCCATTCAACAACCGGGCCGGGCCCGCACAGTGGCGGGCCGGGCCGGTTCCGGACCGGTTTGGTCCATCCCTAGGAACAACGCTAACCCCAGTCCACAAGTTCAATTGATATCCTTTTATCTTTAGGTAGATATATTAACTGTATTATTTTACATAAATTTTACATGAATGATTTGTTTTTTTTTTCAATTTCCCCAAATTTGCATTTTGGAAGATCAAGTCTACACCACGTTGCAACTACGCATGCATCAGCAAAAATAGACAAATAGCCACCAAAACTGACACTGTACAGATGCCCAAGCCTTGGAACCTTGTCAATTCAAGTCATATATTTGTGAATTTTGAGGCCTAACTACGCCTGTGGCATTCAAACATCAGCTGTACAAATGGTCTCTTGTTGACATCCAAATTCACAGTATTTTCACCCATCTTTCGGGTTCAAGTCTTTCATTAGGACAGCCAGAAAGGCAAAAATTGTACATAAATACCAGTTTGCAAGAGAAATAGGTTGTGTCATGTATCAGACACTGCTAGTAGACTTTTTGAAGAAACTGAGGTTCTTTGGGTTAATTTCATCCACCTTTATCACCAAAGTCCTCCCATTCTCTTGCTCACTCCAGGCTATCGATTCTTTCTCCAAAATCTTCACAATCTGTGTATCAGAACCGCCTCAACATTATGCTATAGTTTAATTTGGAAAGACTTTTTTATTTATCATCATCTCCCCCAAACATCTTTCGCAATCAACAGTGATGGAAATGAAATGAAGTCATACCAAACGCTTCCGAAGTCCCTTGGGATCATCTTCATTGACCCCAACAATCACTTTTATATGCTGCAAAGCTGTTGTTCCATTTGAAATTTAGAGCTACAGAATTTCATAAAAGTCCAAGCAAACCCCACAAATAAAATTATTATAATTATAACATTCAAAGAATGAGGAGCGCCTACATGGGATACCACAATAACTATGCAGCTGAAGTTTAAGAAAGTGAACTGCTTCTTTTGGCTCAAAATGACGGACATCTAAGATCATTTCTTCCTTGTTGTATCTGCAACAAATAAACAAAGCTGTCAGTACCTTTGACCGGATGAAGCAAGTTGAAACACTATGTAACCATTTAGAATCCAGATCATAATTGGAAAAGAAAACACAAAGAAAACCATAGAGGACAATTGAAGCAAAGATGAAAGATAGGATAACTACTCAATACATTAATATTTTCCATGTCAATATTATAAAGACTGAGAGACCTCAATTTATGGGTAAAAATGTTAAAAATAAAAACATAACTTGTTTTATTTTGTGCTTTCCAATGTAAAACAAAAAATAGGAAGAACTCTTTGCTTTTTTTACCCTTACCCTATCACTTTCAGGGATCTAAAAACATTCTAAATGAAGGAAAAGAAGAAGGCATTTGTCTAGTTGTACCTGGGTTGAATAAGCTTGCATGCAGACTTTTCATCTGCTTCTAAAGCCTTCTTGCGGAAAAAATTCCCCTATCACAACAGTCGACACCCAAGGAAGGACATATATATAACCTTATTATGCCCACAACCCCAGGTCTACAAAGAAAAAAGGAATAGGAAACTACAAACTTATCTCAGTAGAAAGCGGGATAATCTTGTAATCATGTTTAAATTGGGGAATTAAAAACATGACATTAGTTAAGAAATCTTGGAGGAACCAGAACAATACCTCATCTAGAAGATTGTACGCTTTGGTGTGCTCTTTTTTAACATATGCCTCAAAAGCCTACCGGTAGTGAATCATCAAATTTAAATCATACACTGTTAGTGAATAAATCATTCAAATCTAAATCAAACAACTGACATCGAGTCTCTGGTTGTCATAAAGAAGTGCAACTTACAGCCTTGTAGTACTCTTTCATTATGGTCCAATATTCCTTTACTGCTTTTCTCAAAACTTCATATGTTTCATCGTCCTCTTCATCATCTAATAAAAAAATACACCAAAAAGATTTACACGATAGACCATAATACACAACCAAGAAGTAGATCAAAGAAAATAATATGTCCATCCCAAAAAACATTTTACCAAGGCAAAACATTTTAGTTTTAGTAAGTTACGACTATTGGAAACCATCAATCCTAGCTGTAATTTTAAATTTATATGATTAAATTTAACTTGTTAGGTACACTTCTTTAAAAACATTAAGGGCCATTACGGTGCACCAGGCACCCGTAAATGTACGCACCCTTCCCCAGACATTTTTGCAAAGAGGTTCTAATGGCGGTGGTTCAAGCTTGAAACCTTCTGGTGATATGGTCACCAAAGGAGCAACTCAATCGCTCAAATAGGACTCTTTCATAGGACGAAAGTAAGTTTTCAAGGACTCTTTTAGACTTTTCTGTGATGGAGTACAAATAATTCACTGTGAAAACCAAAATCACAAGTTTTAGATGAGATTGTGTAGGTGGTAGGCCATCTCAACTATACTGTTTTTAGCTAATACGTAGTATTTATTAAGTAACCAGTTTCTGGCTCATATTGTCATCAAGTAATCAATTTCCCAAAATATTAATCTCATCCATATAGTGAATGGATCGCTTACTCATTTCAGAAGGCCGTTTTAAGACGGTGCGATGCTCTATTCGCGGTAGTTGTAGTGGCCTATCCACAACATTTTTCTTTCTCCTAACAACTTTTGGAGGCTGAATTATTTCAGCATCGTATCTTCCAGGGAGAACAAAAAGAGATCCTAAAATTTCTTTTTGAAGTTCATAATTATTTTTCCCCTTCTTTGATGACTGACGGCCATTTCCAGATGTACTATTTCTGTTGGAGCTGCAAAACAACGAATTCAAATGTTTGACCTTCACACATCACTTCTTTTTTGACAAAAATAAACTTACGTATTATTTAAATCAAAGCTTTTACACATCTCTAAATAGTTCAATATGCAAGAAATCTGTTACACCCTCATCTAAAATACGAGCCCTGTTTCAGAACTTTTTATTACGTAAAAAAGAATCCGGTTTCAGAAGCCAACTTTAGTTTTCAGTAAACTCTTGTAAATCCAAACGGCAAGCATGAATTACTCCAAACAATCTTGGAAGTAGGTTTTAGAGGCACAAGTGGTCAATTATAGCTTGTAAAATTTTATACGTTAATTGACTTGACTAAACGTAAAAGTTGTACCTTACTCAAACAAAACACTTTTTTTATGGGGGAGTATAATGATTCTTCTGCTCAACACTACAACGATAAGAATCATCATACCTTCCTGCAGAATCTTGGACCGATTTTGCTTTGACATCTGGAAGCTGCTCAATCAGACCAGGGACAGTAGTAACAATCAGATTGCATGAGTTACTGAGCTAGCATGCACAGCAAAATACTAATATGAAATCTATCAGACTCAATTTGAGCTAGTCTCAGACAGAAAATGCACATTTAAATGATCTCTTTTTCACTGTGTCAGGAAAGGGAACGACCTTCAAAATAAAGTGCAGAGTAGAAAGGATGCCTATGTGAAAGTTTATAAGCTTTAGGATTTTTTAATTGGAACGGAATTATCTGGTATGGTCTGACCTGGTGGCCTGATCGGTTTAAGTCTGACCTGGTCCGGTCTGATTTAGTCTGAACCAGTCTGGTAAATGTCTGGTCTGGTCTGTTTAAGTCTGGTCTCTTTGTATTTTACAAGTGGAGATGTCTAGTCTGTTTAAGTCTGGTCGAATCTGGTTTGGGACTAAAATTAGTCCAAGTAAAAACATCCTTCGTAGAGAGGACAGCTCACTCACCAAAATAAATTTAATAAGACTAAAGTTCTTCTTCAAAAGTTAGAACGAGCAAAAAGACATCCACAAGTAAAATATGATTCAAGAATTCACACATACTTTTTCAGAACTCATGCTGACAATGTCATCACACTTCCCCAAAGTTGCGGCTGACAGTTCCATAAGTGTATCCATACTCTGAGCACCACCAAAAGCAAAAAACAGTCATGCACCCAGAAGACCTAATCAATGCTTCATTAAAAGATCAGTTGATAAATACAAGTCAAGTAGTCAACAACACAGCTGAGCTGCAGATTCACTAAATGGACCATAGAGTCATCAGTAGAGCACTGTAACTCATTTGTTTCTTTATTATTTTTTGAAAGAAACTGCCTAAGTAACTGCTACATATCTATGCTTACCTTATTCACATCATATCCACATTGGCCTGCAAAAAATATCAACAAATTCCTTCATTAGAAAAAGGACCGAGATAGGATAAATAACTCAACAAGAACCAGGTTATGCCTATGAAATAGAAGAGCAAGACAATGAGAAGGAAAATAATTCCTCAACTGCAACTGAAACAAAGAGAGATTGTTAGGAAAAGACCAAATAGACTAAAAAGACTTTCAAAGGCTCGACAGACTATCTTGTGCTTCTTAGATAGGGGAATTAATGCGTGGTTTATATTTTGGTGGATCAAGATATATAACAATTTCCAGTTGGTAATAAACAAAAGCATATCTTGGTGGTTTGTATTGCTTTTTTTAAGGTGATTGTCTCTGAGTCTGGTTCGAGGGCTGGCAGTTGGGAGGGGACTTTTTGTCGTTTTGTTACTTGCCCAAGTATTGATTATTTAATATAAGCCACTTTCTTTATGATAAAAAAAAGCATATTGTGAATTAGAAAGGGATTATTGTTCTAACAAGTTTAAATCAGAAATATAATTTGATATAAAAAAATCTACTTCTCTTTGAATTTTAACTAAGCTTGCAAAACGAATTATGTCATTTGCAGATAAAACTCATGTATTTGAAACTCAGTGAACAAGTTGAAAGAGTAATTATGTATTAATCGAACAAGAATTCACTGCCTACTCTTACAGGTAGCAGCTTACCAACAACATTTTGTATTGTACTCATATTGAGAGAGAATCCGTCTCCAAGCATTTTAAAAAGAAATTCCTCGACATCGGTGTTAAGGGTCTCAGTTTTTGCTGTATTCTGCACACAAGAATCGTCTTTCCATATCTCAGAAATGGGAAAATCTTCTGAATTCAGCTTTAATGGCTTGGTCTTCTTACAGCTTTCACTGTTTTGTAGCTGGGACCCCTCATATTCTCTTCGAACAACATTGGGAACAATTCCCATTGACGCTGCACACTTTTTTGGCTTGAATATACTGATTTGGTCTTCATGTGACCAATTTTCCTGTGAAGCAGATGACGTTTCCAAATGGTCAAAATTGTTCTGTGACTCAAATCCTAAGGCAGTAGAATTGGTATCCTGCAGGTTGCAGAGGATGTCACCAGCTATAGAAAGATTACGACCTGCTTCACAATAGGCTGCAGCTATATCTTCTATTGAAACAATAGAACCAAATGCATGATACAGCTGCTCAAGATCGCTATCCAGCCTATCTTCATGGCCAAAAGAAGAGCTTGAAGGAAGCCCTTCCATTTTCACCCTTCACAAAAATAAGAACCATGAGTAAATGCTAAATGAATTCTAACAACAACCCAACTTCCTAGTTCTTACTAACACAAATTGCCTAAATAGTTCAGATTCTCAAGTTGCATCCATCCTCACTTCAAAGATATCTAACATTTGTCAATGTAATCTAATATTACACTCTTAAAGAGTTAAAGTGACTCAAGTAGGCTTTAAAAAATCACAAAAACACAAACTAATATGTACCCTTTTCAGAATTCACAAACTGCAACTCTAGAGATCTACCCCCAAATAAATGCCTATTTCAGTTTCATATATTAAGAGAAGTCTGTTTTTTCATAATTTTTCTACAGATATCCCAATGTACCATAGTATTTCCATGCAACATAATTTCATGGAAAATAGTTTATATACAATCAAGTTCTTTAAGTCTCATTCTGTATGGAGAAACCCAAACAAGGCGTGAAAAGATAAATCATCTGAACTCTGAAACGGTTTTAACCGTCGATTTTCGAGATTTATCAGTGTGCGGCCACCAGAACTCAGAGATTACCAATTTTTTCAGTGAAAGAAAGTGAAAGCAAAAAATTGAAGCATCAAGTATTGATTGGTGAAAATGAAGCGAGATAATTCAGTGAGAGATGATCATACTCGATCCAAAAGCTTCCTTTGTTCTCCTTTGGCTCTAGGATATGCTTTCTGGTTTCGGAAAGAGCCTGCAACTGCAGCGTCCACGCTCTCAGGAATCCGTAATGCTGAATGGACGGCTTTTGTCACTTACAAAAAGGATTTTTTGCTATGATAAAGACAAGTGAAAGACGTGAACGTTGTTCATGGCTGAACCTTGAAGGGTTTAACAGAGAGGTCTGATGTCGGAAAGAGTGAAGTAGAAATGAACGAAGCGCCGAAAAAAGAGGGTTGCCCCCCAACAGCAATTCAACAAACAAGATTTTAAGGAGAATTAGCTAAATAAGACTAAACAAGATGGTAAACACAGGAGTAAAGATTACACTTTTTATCCCTAATTAACCTAATCTAGATTTGCAACTCATATCCTCTACCGTCAGCAATCTTTCGTTGCAATTCATCTTCCTCTACCGTGGTCCCAATTCATCTTCCGTCATTCTTTCCTCTATCATGTCTTGCAATTCATCTTATTCTTTCCTCTACCATGGTTGCACCTCGGCCATGGATCGTAGACTCGCAGCTCCGCTGTAGACGACCTCTATTGCAATTTTTTCAGCCAAGATAGGTATGTACTCCTCCTCCTCCTCAATTTTCTGGTACTCTATGAATATGACATTTTTATTTTGAAATTAAAAAACTTTAGAAAAATGTCATAATTGATGTTTAATCCAACATTGATTTATAATAATGTCACTTTTATGACATTACATTTGTCAAGGTGACAGTTCAAAGAAGAAAACGACATCTTCAAAGAGTAATAATGTCATTAGCATGACATTTTCGAAACAAAAATGACATATTTAAAGTGTTAGTTTTTTAGTAACAATGTCATTTCATGACATACTGTCATCTTGATAAATGCAATGTAATAAAAGTGACATTTTTCTAATTGCTTGTAATTTATGATTTCTTAGGTTCCAAATTAATCAAAATTATTAAATAATTAAATAAATAATTGAAATCTAAAGAAAAAGAGAATAGAGGACCAGAAATTTGAAGAGGATTAGAAGAAGAGGAAGAGGAAGATGAAGAGGAAGAGGAAGATGAAGAGGAAGAGGAAAAGGAAGAGGAAAAGGAAGAGGAAGAGGAAGAGGAAGAAGAAGAATACCTACCTGGTCGCCGATGAGTGCAGGGCTACCGTAGACGGCAGAACTGTGATGCGAGGCCACAGTCGATGGCGGAGCAGCAGTCCATGTGAGGAAGAGATGTTATGCGATGAATTATAGAGTCGGCGGGAGTGGTGCGATGAATTGCAGTGGGAGAGACTTGTAGGCTTAATTGAATCAGGGGTAAAAGTGTAATATTTAATCCTATTTAGGGAATAATAAACTTAAAGTTCTATTGTGGAATTTATACAATTTAGTCTCATTTATGCCAATTACTTTTTTAATTATAGACCCTAGATCATACTATAATACTAGTAACAAAAAAAACAGTGACAAATGTACAATTCAAATAAATGAAATGGATAAAAATGTGATTTTTATATTTTAGTGATTATCATAGTAATTTTAGGATCATCTTTATGTTCATTCGCGTCTAGCCTTTGAAGAAAGTTTCTAAGCTATATACACCAAAATGTACATTTTGCCTTAAATATGATTTATTTAGGGGGTGTGATATGATTTTGTATTACTTATGAAATTTTATGGATACTTCAGCTATTATTGAGATTAAATAATGGTATTGGAATATGAATTTTGGATAGATTAATTTTTTAACTTACTATGGCTTGAAAGCATGACTTTTATGGAATTGTTATTATGATTGGAAAATTGGGAAAGTTAGATCCCGTTTGGTAACACTGAAATCAGTTGATTCTCTTGAAATTTTAATGAAATTATGACTGAAGTGGTTGGCTGCATGTGTTTGCTAATTTATGAAAAAAAGTTATACTCCGTATTAAAATAAATATTATTAATAAAATAAAAAATATACTTCCTCCGTCCCCCAATTAAGTTCCTAGATGAATTTCACACATATTAAGAAAATAAATTTACTGGGGGTAAATTTTACTGTTTTGACACAGTTTGACACTGTTTTGACACAGTTTGACACTGTTTTGATGTAGATAATTTGCCAAATAAGGAAAGTAAGGAAGTGGGAATTTAATTGTGGGATTGCCCAAAAAGGAAAATGAGAACTTAATTGGGGGACAGAGGGAGTATATATGAAATTAATTTCGGCTCATTCAGTCAGAAAAGTAAATATAACCTTACTTATTTTAAGGAATTTTATCAATTCAAGACCCGAAAGATAAATTAATTATCAATTCAGGACTCGAAAGATGAAACGTATCAGTATAGAACCCGAATGATGGAAAACTATCAATTTAAGACCTAACGTTTCATAGGTTTTGATTTATTTAATTTTTTATTAATTCCATTACTAATTTTTGATAAACTTTTCTTCACAAAAGTTTATTAGTTTAATAAAACGAAATGTATTTAAAAATTTTTAATAAAAAAAATTATGACAACTTAGGTCCTAGATTAATAGTTTTAAATCATTCAGGTCCTAAATTGATAGTTTTTCATCATTCGGGTCTTATATCGATGCATTTTATCTTTCAGGTCTCGAATTGATAATTAATCTATCTTTCGGGTCCTGAATTGATAAAATTCCTTATCTTAATTATTACACAATTCAGTGGGCGGAATTAAAAGTCACGTGTTTGGTGAAAATTGGTTGATAAGACTGATAAGCCGTAAAACAAGGTCATCAAACTGACTCTTATTTGGTGTATGAACTATATGTTTAAATATATGAATTATATCAACTAGGAACTGAGAGATAGATTCACTATTAATAAGGGACCTAAATGATAAAGCGGTTCGATATAGGGCCCAAATGATTAAAAACTATCAATCTAAGATATAAAATATCACACATTTTGGTTTATTTAATTTTTCTTATCACTTCCATTGCTAATTTTGATGATTTTTTCTTCACAAAAGTTCTATTATTAATGAGATGAAATAATATTTAAACTAAAAAAAAACATGAAATATTAGGTATTAAATTATACGGAGTATATTTCAATCATTCGAACCTTATTTCGACATACTTTAACTTTGAGGTCCCTTATTGATAATTAATAGTGAACTTATTTTTGGTTTGGAGTTATCCTTATTGAATTATTATTGAGCATTGCACTAAATACTTTTTTGGAATTGTGAATTGGATTGAATTCAATGTGAAATTATGATTTAGGGATTGAACATGCTATATATGCATATTATTTTTAGGTATCTATATACAACATATATATTTTTGTAAGGGTTGTGATATCAAACGGTAATGACTGAACTATAATCATTTTATAATTGTGAGTGTTATGTTAGAGAATATTTTCTGTTGTGATCAATTTTTATTATGAATATTTTTGTATTTATATGTGTTTCCTTTAATAGTATTTTAACACATTAATTAATAACTTAGAATAGAATCAGGTCCCCATCAATGTTTGGGTCAATGATGCAGGCAAGGCTATATGCGCAGATACCTAGGTATAAAATGTAACCCCTTTAGGTATCTTCACATAACAATCACGGCCGCGGTGCGCACATTCATCTGAAATCTTTTCTTCTTTGAGAGCAGAGATTTCATCGTGTAAAAGTTCTTTGATTTTTTTTATCAAATAAAAGTTTATTCAGTATAATGCAGATTACATTGTGCGGAGAGGACATAAAACCTAGCTCCGTGAAATAGGAGCCAAACCTATTGTAAATAAAAGGGTGTGACTATAGGAGTGGGCCTCAGATTTCCGAAAGAGTCCAAGAAAGAGGGATCCACCTTAGGTCCAACATAATAACACCAAAGGAATAAGTGTCGATGGAACCCTGAACTTCGCCCGATCCAGAAGCGGACTAGGGTTCAAAAATGCGATGTTACCCTTCCTCAACAAGAGAGCGTTAGGAGTCATCCGGTTTGCAGCTGAGTCGTGTAGTGTTCGCCTATCCTTGGAGTTCGCCTGGTGTGCAGAGGGGGTTCGAAACCATCGCGATGGCTAGAGAAAGGCAATTGAAGGTCTTCTGACGTTGCGGCTTGTGAAAGGTTTTCTGGGCCGTCAAGAATGAAGAGTTGTTGAGGTAATGGAATTATGTGCTTGAATATTTCTTCGTGTTGATTTGGGACTGTGACCGATTTATATTTTTTGTTGTTGTGAGGGGCATCTGTGTTGTATCTATGAGACGAATGAGGGCTTTCATCTGCAGTCTGCGATTGAGGTCCTGTCTCTGCGGTAGCGATTGTTCTTTGAGCAGGTGAGTCTTCGTTTGTGTTGGTATTTGCATTTTGATCTGTATTTTGTGTGTGGTTCATTTGCGTTCCGATGTTTTGTGACTGCCTATGTTGGTCAACACGGTGACATGTTAGAGTCAGATTTGAACTGTTTACTGTGATGTGTGGTTGACTGCCTGTGAAAAGTGGGATGAGTCCGTCTTTGTGTAATTCTTCGTCAAAAGTCCAGTTTCTGTGTTTGTGTCTGCTGTGCACCCACTCTCTTGTGTGTAATTTGATATCCTTGATCAGTTCCAATCTGTAAGTTGACTTGTTTTCCCAAATGTATGCATTGTAACTCTTCCACGTTTCCCACATGATGATTCCTGGTAAGGCCTGTCTAATTTCTTCTTTCACGTTGTTGGTCTTCCCGCCTAGCCACCATTTGAATAATGTCTGTCTGAGTTCGTCATGTGTAGTAGTTCCCACCTGCAAAATGTAAGAGAAATGGTCCCAAATCGGGCGGATTAGTGAGCATGCGAACAAACAATGGTTCATTGTTTCCTGATGTTGTTGGCAGAAAGGGCATTTTGAGGCCAATTGTATGTTGAACCTTCTTAGGTTTTCCGGGAACGGGAGGGATCTAGTTAAGTACTTCCAAAGGAAGATTTTGAGCTTAGTGGGTAGGTTTGATTCCCAAACTTGTCTGTGAGAGAAGGTTTTGTTGTGGTGAGTTCTGACATGTTGGTAAGCAGATGATAGGCTGAAGTTTCCTTTTTTTTCTGGTTCCCAAAAGAATTTTCCTTATGTTTCGTGTGTGAGTTGAGTGCCCAGGTTGTTTACTGCACATATTTGCTTCCAAATGTGCGAGTCTTTGGGTTTGTGTGACATGTGGACAGTTCTTGAGTATCTTGTGTGCATGAAGTTTGCCCAGGGGGTTTTATTTTCTTTGAATTTCCACCATAGCTTAAGCTGGAGATCAGCTTGAGTATCTCTTAACGATCTGAGGCCTAAACCACCTTCTTCACTGGGTTCTCACAAGTGTTCCCAGCTTTTCCAATGGTATTTGTTTTTGTTGTCCTTGGAGCCCCAAAAGAAGTTTGACATAATTTGCTCCAGAATTGTTATAACTTTACTCGGGATTTTTGTTGTGGTCATGTGATATATAGGGATTGTTGCAAGGGTGATAGAGAGCGGGAAGAGCATGGGGCGGGACCGGGCTTGGGCCCACTTCCGTGGGCCGAGTTAGGGTTGTCGTTATAGTTTAATTATTATTATTATTAAGTTAATGTTATGTTTTAGTTTGGGCCTATTATTAGTAGAGTAGTTAGTTGAGTTAATTTGGGCCTAATTAGGGTTTAATTAATATGGGCTTGATTAGGGTTTCTTGTAGAAGACTATTTATACCCCTCGCCAGGGTTCATTCTTATTATCTTGGAATAAAGTTAGAGTTTAGCCTTTTGGCTTTGGGCAACGGTATTTTTATCGTTGATTATCTGGGCAACGGTTCACCCCGTTGATTTCTATTTTTTCTGTTACATATCAATTGGTCCGACCTGCCGGATCCCGTCCCGCCGGAATGACGAGATCAACCAACGAACGTTTATCAGAATTGGAGGCTGAACAGGCCCTAATCAATCAAAAACTTGACACGCAAGGACAGAAACTTGATCTGCAGGGACAGAAACTTGACACACAAGGTCAGAAACTCGAAGAGCAGGCCGCCCAGCTTGCGGAAATCGCAGCCTCTCTTGCAGCAATCGCGAAGGCCATGGTGCCGCCGCAGAAATCTCCCATCGCGACCGTCGAGAGCGATTCCTCCGGCCACGTCGCATCTGTCTTCTCCGATGATGGCGGACTGCGCACCGCAGCCACAACGCTACTTCCCTCGTTCGATGGCGAAGACCCAATTGGGTGGTTGGCGAGAGTGGAGCAGCAGTTCGAGCTCAACAGGACCCCACCAGACAGACAAGTTGCAGCGGCTAGGGTTTCTATGGAAGGGGCTGCCCTCTATTGGGTGACGTGGTTAAAGGCGCGCAAACCTGGCATATCTTGGGAGGAATTTAAGCAAGCCTTGGTGGCCAGATTTGATTCCCGATATCAGGGAAACAGGTTTGAATGGCTGTCCGGCGTCAAACAAATTGGGTCGGTGGAGGAATACAATACCTTGTTCGTTCAATTGGCTAGCCAAGTTCCGGGATTGACCGACGATCATTATTTGGGCTACTACATGAGTGGACCTGGGGAAGCAATCCGAAGTTCGTTGCGCTTATTACGGCCAGAAAACATGGAAACAGCCATGGAATTAGCTCGCGATGTGGAGCATAATCTGTCCGTCCAAAGTGGAGGAAGTGGCAGCAGCTTTTTAATGGCAAACACGGGTCCTCCTTTGACTGCCAGTGGTGGCAGCTTGCAGGGATCAAGGGGCAGCTTTGCGAAGGATAGTGGACAGCCTCCGGGGACGAAGTCAGGGCTGTCCGGGCAGCCTACGACATGCTCTCAGTTCACTCGTCTTCCGCCAAAGGAGTTCACAGAATTGAGGGCGAAAGGATTATGCTTTAGGTGTAAGAAACCATTTACACCGGGGCACGACTGTCCCTTTAAGCAGCTGCGGGTAATGATAGCCGAGGAGGAGGAAGAGTTAGACCTCCAACAGCATGAGTACTGTGAAATAACCGGCCAGGAAAGAGAGAAAAGATATTTTCCAGTCTATTCTATGTCTGGGAATTTCAGCTCCCCATCTGTCAGCTTTCAACCTTGAGGACAAGGTTATTTTGAAGGAGGATGGATTGATAGAGAGCGGGAAGAGCATGGGGAGGGACCGGGCTTGGGCCCACTTCCGTGGGCCGAGTTAGGGTTGTCGTTATAGTTTAATTATTATTATTATTAAGTTAATGTTATGTTTTAGTTTGGGCGTATTATTAGTAGAGTAGTTAGTTGAGTTAATTTGGGCCTAATTAGGGTTTAATTAATATGGGCTTGATTAGGGTTTCTTGTAGAAGGCTATTTATACCCCTCGCCAGGGTTCATTCTTATTATCTTGGAATAAAGTTAGAGTTTAGCCTTTTGGCTTTGGGCAACGGTATTTTTATCGTTGATTATCTGGGCAACGGTTCACCCCGTTGATTTCTATTTTTTCTGTTACATATCAAAGGGTATGTTTGATTAAGATAAGCCGGCCTCCTTGACTTAGATTTTTCTTTTTCCAGGATTGCAGCCTTCTTTCAAAGGACCCGATGATCCCCAGGCAGTTTGTCACCCTGGGCATCCCCGTGTGCAGTTGAACTCCGAGGTACGAAGTTGGAAGGTTAGTGACCATCATTTCTGTCTGTTTTTGCCAACTGATTTTCTTTGCAAGGCTTGACTTTTTGCTTACCACCATCGTGCATTTGTTGATGTTAAGCAGCTGACCACAACCATCTGTAAACCTTTGGAGGAATTTTTTGAGATTAAGGATGGATTTGGCAGACCCATTCGAGAAGATCATGATATCATCAGCATAGCAAAGATGGGAGATGGGACTGCTGTAGTTACCAATTTGAAAATTTTGAATTTTGTTTTTGCTTATCATGGTCTGTAAACCTCTAGTAAATGTTTCAATCTGCACTAGGAATAGGTATGGGGAAAGGGGGTCCCCCTGTTTGACCCCCCTCTGTGGACTAAAAAATCCATAGGGTTTCCCGTTAATTAGGATGGATAGACGGGTGGAGGATAGCCCTGAAATGATGAGGCTGCAAATATGCCTGTTAAAGCCCAAGTTAGTTAGGGCCTTATCCAAGAAATCCCATGAGACCCGATCAAACGCCTGAGCTAAATCAAACTTTATGGTGATATTTCCTCCACGGACTTTTGAGTCAATATGGTGGATCAATTCTTTGGCCATAAGAATATGTTGGTGTATGTCCCGATCATTCATAAATCCAACCTGCTCTTCTGAGATGAATCTGGGCAGCAGGGGCTTCATTCCATTTGCCATTATTTTAGAGCAAACCTTGCTAACAAAATTAGAGAGGCAAATGGGACGGTAGTTTTTAAAGCTTTTGGGTTTGTCCTTTTTTGGGATTAGGATAATCAGGGAGCAGTGTAGTGCTGTAGGCATCGTAACTCCCAGGAAGAATTCTTGTATTGCACTGGTTAGGTCCTTGTGAATGATGCTCCAACACTTCCGGTAGAAGTAACCGTTAAACCCACCTGGCCCTGGGCAGCTATTTTTGTTCAGGGCCCAAACTGCCTCCTTAATTTCTGGTTCCTCGGGGATTTGGGAGAGCATTAGGTTGTCATCCTGGCTGAGGGTAGGTTTAAGGAGGTTGAGAAAGTAGGATTGGTCCTCGGGCTGGTTTAGTTGCTTCCCGTATAGATTCTGGAAGTAGTGTATTGCCGCCTCCGCTATTTTGTCTTGGTTGGTGATACTGTTTCCGTTTTCATCCTCAATCAGATTGATCCCTTGAGCATTGCGCTTTTCCTTTACAAACTTGTGGAAGAACCTAGTGTTAGCGTCCCCATTGGACAACCATTTAATTCGGGCCCTTTGCTTCCATAAATTTTTTCCCCTCTTTAAGGCTAGGAGTAATTCAGCCTGGGTTTTAGACCAGGCCATACGGTTGAGGAGGTTAGGATTAGTTTCATAGGCTTGATCCGCGTCGTGGGCTTTATGTTCGGCCATTTGGACTGCTGTGAACACGTTTCCGAATGTAATTTTGTTCCAACTGCGTAGAGACTTTTTAGTGGCATGCAATTTATCGTAAAATTGTCTCATGCCCCCTCCACCCTGGACAGAATTCCAACTGGACAGGACTGTTTCCTGAAATGTGTGGTGAGTAGCCCACATATGTTGAAATCTGAAGGATTTCGGCCCATTTTGTTTTTGATTAGAGCATGCTAGGATGAGAGGAGTGTGGTCTGAGGAGGTTCGGCCTATGTGATTCTCAATAATTGATTCAAAATTATTAAAGAAACTTGCATTCGTAAGGAACCTGTCTAGTCTTTTCCACAGTCTGCCACTAGACCGGACCCCAGACCAAGTAAACTTGCTTCCTGTAAATAGGATCTCCTTGAATTCACAGTATTCGATGCATTCTCTGAAATCTGATATGTCCTGTAGTTTTAGGGAGGATGTTCCATTGATGTTCATCTAGTGAGGTGATGACATTGAAGTCTCCTCCGATGAGCCATGGCCGATTGTCGGAGTCTTTCCTTTGTTTGAGCCGACTCCATAAGTTCTTTCGCTCAAGCCTTGTATGTTTGGCGTAAATAGGAGTGAGTTGGAATTTGAAACCCGTAAAGAGTTCCGTAACATTCAAGTGGAGTAACTGGTCTGATCCTCTTATATCTTCAATAGTGAAGCACTTGTCTTTCCAAAAAATCCATATACTGTTGTCTGATTTGGTAAAAACATGAGAAAACCCAAACAATTGACGGTAGTATTCAGATTTATCAATAACGACCATATGCTCAATGATACAAACTAAAGTGATCCGCCATTCGGCGATGATGCTCTGTAGTCTGTCACTTGCAGAGTGCAGACCACATACATTCCAAATAATAACAATCATTAGAATTTGTTCAGAAGCCCTTTGGCTTCCTTGAGTGTTTGAGAGCGGGTTGAAATGGGAGTGGATGGGAGATTGAGAACTTTCTGAGTTTGTTTTTTGGTAGAGGACTTGATGAGATTGGTCTCAAGGGATGGGTGGTTAAGTTTTTTTTCCAATAGTGTCGGAAGTATCTTGCCAGTGGTCATCCGTTTTCTCACACGGATCCCCATCAGAGCAATGGCCTGATTGAGTTACCACCGTGGTCAAAGGTCCTGTTCTGACCAAGAGGTCATCCAGTTGCGGTACGGGTTTAGGTAGGAGAGACTTAAGGTTAGAGATGGAAGGGTGGGATTCTTGGAGGGGGAGGGGGGAATGGCGGGTCTGATGAAGGTTGATTAGGGAGTTTATTAGAGCAAGGTTCGAAGTTTGGAGAGTGGGATTCTTGGGGGGGGGGGGGGGGGGGGAATGGCGGGTCGGTTGTAGGTTGATGAGGGAGTTGATTAGTGACACGCCCCGGACCTAGCCGGACACGTCAACAACCCGCCATACCGTACGAATAGTCGACCGCAGTCCAACTCATCCATACTATACAAGGCATCTTGAATACCATTCACACATAGTACATCCATAAACAAACATAATGTAAAACATTTATTTAAAGCAGCGGAAACATTTAATATAAGTGTTTATGCCACACCTTGGCAAACATGGGCATACAAGCCCCCAAATAATTATTCAAAAATAATATCCATGAGCGTTTATATAATTGTTTTCAACCAGAAACGGAGGAAGCACGAACCACGTCTTCTCCCCTGAATATCCCCGAAGCAACGGGCGCCGGTAGCAACCTTCAAGTTCTACCTGAAACTGTGAGGTAGCCTCCCCCGTGAAGGGGAGGTCAGTACTTGGAAGCATTTGACAAGTACAATGACAACTATACTAAGTATAATCAACGTTTTAATTTCCAAGACCCTCAAAATAGGGTGATATCATAATATAAATAATAATTTATATTTCCCACTTATTATCCTTATAATAAGTAAATTCATTTATTCTTATTATAATTCCTACGGGACTTGCTACCGCTGTCCGAGACCTCATGAGGCTCTCGGTTCGGACTCCAACATCCCGCCCCCTGGACTCATACACATCATCTCGTAGGAAGGTAAGGCCCTTCGGGGTCCTATCTTATGTGTTACCGCTACCGGAACCTAGTTAGGTCTCCGATTCGGATTCCACCCTAACCCGTGATCACGATGCAAGTCCATGCTATCCAACCCCGCTCTCTAGAGACGGGAAGGGCCATGGTCCTTACTTATTTCCATAATTTAACCGGCTATCCTCAAGGACTACCGAACACACCCGTAGGCCAATCCCATATCTAGGATCAATTTATTATTTACTTTATCTTGGGTATCCCTTAAGGCCTACCCCTAGTATAACTTAAAGTTCATACTTTCCTACCTTAAAGCATCTCTTAAGACTACTTAAGGCATAACATTTCACAATCCCACATTAGGATCAATCTTAACAACATTTCATTTTAATGTCCAACTAGTATCTTAATACTAGTCAAATTAATTCCAACAAACCAAGTTCTCAACTCATAGTCATATAGACAATTCTAACTGATTTTTCCATTGAAAATATCATTTATCTCAATATTCAAAATATCACTTTTAATCACTCATATATTCTATTATGAAGTAAAAAGTATATTTCAACATATGTTTCATAATCAATTCCACCTTCAAGTCAACATACTCATAACACATGATCATAGATAATTTACTCTTAAATTTGTATATCATGCTCCTTTCCTTTATAGACATTAGTCTTCTCATTCTTAGGCATTATTAATCATTAATAATCCATAAAAACACATTTAATTATCTTAGGTAATCTCATGAAATTAACTCACTAATTATAAGCAATATAGTCAGCCATCCTCACCTTATAGAGTGCTTGACTAGTTGCCTTTGCAAAGCCCTTCGACCCGTCCTCGTTCTAGGCCGTTCGAAAGTGAAAATCTGGACTGCTGGGCAAAAGCTGAGCGGCTTTCACGAAAGCCGGGCGACGTTCGTAGTCTGCAACTACAAACAGCTTCCTATATGTGGCGGTTTCCGGTGATTTCGACTCCTATCGATTCACCAACTCTTCTAAGTTAATTAACACCACTTTATAACAATATTCTACACTTTTAAACGTGTAGAACTCGAGGTTTAATCCATCATATGATTTCTTACAAATCATACACCATAAAACTAGTTAAAAGAACTATTTGTGTTCTTACCTCAATGTCTAGCTTTTTTCTCCTTGGATTTCTTTCCTTCTTGCTTGTCTCAAGCTATGGCCTCTTTGTGGAAGACTTCCCTAGAGCTTCTATATCCTCTTTGGTCGTTTGTAAGGTTCAAAGTGAGGGAAAGTATCTATCCTCCTTCCAACCCATTATTTGAGGTGTAGATAGGCCATAGGGAGTGTACATTTGTCTCATGCCATCCCTCCTATCAACAGTCCGCACACCACCCTCAAATCATGTCCTTACAGCTCTCATTCAGTCAACTAGAGCTCATAAAAACGTGGGGTGGCCCCCACTTATGTGGGAGGTCATCCCATTATGTCCCGGTGTGTACAATCGGCCCCGAAAGTTGTATTTCTCGGACTGTCTTAATTATATTTTAATTTGTCGGGCCAAATAAAATTTATCCTGCGTTCCTTATAATTATGGGCCTTTAGAATAGATGTAGATTCCCTAACATTAATTTAGGAGTCTCCGAAATTCGTTCCGGGCTGTCATCCGATAAATTACTAGTACCGCTAATTGGGCCCCGTTTGACCAACAGGTCAACTCCATGCCCTTTTTATGGCCCAACTACACTATCCACCACCATATACATATTATCTAGACCAAGATGAATATAATATGGGGTTCTGAATTTATCGGGCGGTCCCCGTTCTCGGTGTGGGCCCTACATGCAATTTACTATTCACATAAAAGAAACAATAAAAATTTACAATTACGCAAATTCATAAATCATCCTTCAAGGTTTATTACATAATTTACTAAAAGTAATTATGCTTGGGGACGGTGTCACAAGTTAACCCCCCCCCCCCCCCCCCCCCCCCGAAATTCACAACGATTATTCAAACAAGAAGGCATATTGTTCCCTCATTAGGGCTTCCGTTTCCCAAGTTTCCTCTTCAACTCGGTCACTTTTCCAAAGGATTTTAACAATTGGAACTTTCTTGCTCCTCAACTTTTTGACTTGCCTGTCAAGTATCTTCACCGGTTGCACGACATAATTCAAGTCTTCCCGTATTTCCACGGGTGGTTTCTCTAACACATGAGATGGATCCGGAATATACTTCTTAAGCATAGACACATGCAATACATTATGTATTTTCTCCAATTCCGGAGTCAACTGCAATCGGTATGCTACGACCCCAATTCTTTCAAGAATCACAAATGGTCCTATGTAGCGTGGGTTAAGTTTCCCTCGGCTCTGAAATCGGATGATTCCTTTCCAAGGTGAAACCTTCAAAAATACCTTGTCTCCCACCTTAAATTCCAAGGCTCTCCGGCGCTTATCGGCATAGCTCTTCTGTCTATCCTGTGCCGCCTTAAGTCTTTCACGAATCATCTTTACTTTTGACTTGGTGATCTCCACCAACTCCGTGCTCTCGAGTTTGGCCATGCCAACCTCGTCCCAACACAAAGGTGTACGACATCTCCTCCCATACAATGCCTCGTATGGAGGCATGCCTATACTCGCCTGATAACTGTTGCTATAGGCAAACTCCACAAGTGCCAAATGGTTGTCTCAACTTCCTTGGAACTCCAATGCACAAGCTCTCAGCATATCCTCCAATATCTGTATAACCCGCTCGGATTGCCCATCCGTTTGCGGATGGAAAGCTGTACTGAATTTCAACTTTGTCCCCATACTCTTGGAACTTCGTCCAAAATCGTGATGTGAATCGCGGATCTCTATCGGATACAATGGTTATCGGAACCCCATTTAGCCTCACGATCTCATCCACATACAACTTGGCTAACCTCTCCAGTGCATAGGTGGTGTTGATAGGCAGAAAATGTGCACTCTTCGTAAGCCTATCAACCACAACCCATACAGCATCATAGTTCTTAACCATCCGTGGCAGCCCTACCACGAAATCCATAGTCACGTGTTCCCACTTCAATTCAGGAATGGAAAGTGGCTGTAATAACCCAGCTGGATGCTGATGTTCTGCCTTAACTTGATGACAAGTAAGACATCTACTGTTGTACTCGACTATTTCCCTCTTCATACCAGACCACCAGTAACTTTCTTTCAAATCACGGTACATTTTCGTGCCTCCCGGATGCATGGCATACGCCGATGAATGAGCCTCCTCTAAGATAGACTTTCGGAGCTCATCATCCGACGGTACACACACTCGGTCGTGAAATAGTATGAGACCATCGTCTCTTTCCCTGAAATCCTCAACCGGTCTCACTAGCATGCGTTCACGGACCTTCATAAGCTCTTCGTCAGTTTCTTGACCCTTCTTGATTTCATCAAGTAATGTAGGTCTCACCTCGAATCTAGCTAACAAGGCACCATCGCTAGATACCTCCAATTGGGCTCTCAATGCCCTCAAACTAGTCAACAATGCCCCAGACGAACTCTTTCGGCTCAAGGCATCCGCTACCACGTTGGCTTTACTGGGGTGGTACTCGATAACTAGATGGTAGTCTTTTATCAACTCCATCCACCGTCTATGTCTCATGTTTAACTCTTTCTGAGTAAACACGTACTTCAGGCTTTTGTGGTCAGTGTATATATGACATGTTTCCCCGTAGAGATAATGTCTCCAAATCTTCAATGCAAATACCACTGCTCCCAGCTCTAAGTCATGAGTAGGATAATTTACCTTCTGCTTTTTCAACTGTCGTGAAGCATAGGCAATCACCCTCCCATTCTGCATCAAGACACATCCAAGCCCTTGGATGCTCGCGTCGCTGTAGACATTGTACCCCATACCCTGTTTGGGTAATGCAAATACCGGTGCCTCGGTCAATCTTTTCTTCAATTCAAGGAACCCCTTCTCACATTGATCATCCCATACAAACTTAGCCCCCTTTCGAGTGAGCTTCGTCAATGGTGATGCCAAAACTGAGAATTTCTCCACGAATTTTCTATAGTATCCTGCCAACCCAAGGAAACTACGTATTTCCTTGACGTTCTTTGGCCTCTCCCATTCGGTAATGGCTTCAATCTTCTTGTTATCAACCGCTATCCCTGATCCCGAAACTACATGCCCGAGGAAGCCAATCTCCCTTAGCCAAAATTTACATTTGGAAAACTTGGCATAGAGTTGCTTCTCCCGTAGTGTCTCAAGAACAAGTACCAAGTGCTCCGCATGCTCTTCTTCACTCTTTGAGTAAATCAAGATGTCATCTATGAACACAATCACAAACCGGTTCAAGTATTTATGAAATACTCGGTTCATCAAGTCCATAAATGCCGTCGGGGCGTTGATTAGCCCGAACGACATAACTGGGAACTCGAAATGACCATACCTTGTGCGGAATGCACTTTTCGGTATGTCATCCTCCTTTATCTTCAGTTGGTGGTACCCCGACCTCAAGTCAATCTTCGAAAACACCGTCGCTCCTCGGAGCTGGTCAAACAAGTCATCAATCCTAGGCAAATGATACCTATTCTTGATTGTGACCTTGTTCAGTTGACGATAGTCAATGCACATTCGAAGTGTTCCATCTTTCTTTTTCACAAAAAGGACCGGTGCTCCCCATGGGGAGTGGCTCGGCCTTATAAAACCGTTATCCAAAAGCTCTTGCAATTGGGTCTTCAACTCGTTAAGTTCTGCGGGTGCCATCCTGTATGGTGGTATAGAGATTGGTTTGGTGCCGGGCTCAACCTCGATCACGAACTCGATCTCCCTATCGGGTGGAAGTTCCGGTAAGTCCTTTGGAAAGACATCCGGATACTTGCACACTACTCTTACATCATTGATGTTTATCTCTTCTTTGGTCTTGTCCACTACGTATGCTAGATATGCGTGGCATCCCTTTCTCATCATATTCCTCGCTCTCACGGCGGATATGATACAACTATTTGATTTGCCTCTATCTCCTTCGAAGCGTAGAGTAAGCCCTTCACCGCTTTCAAGTTCAAGAACCTTTAATTTGTGTAGCAATCGACCCTAGCATGATGTTTCTCAAGCCAATATATTCCAAGGATCGCGTCGAACTCGATCATACTCAGCGGTACGAAATCACACGTCAGGGTTTGGCCCTCCACTTCCACTTCACACGATGGATAGTGGCTATTTCTTTCGATATCATCCCCTAGAGGTGTGGACACCAATAGGGTTTGAGTCATCGTTACAAGCAGTTTATTGAATCCCACGGCAAACGCCTCACTCACAAATGATCGTTGCGCCCCGGTTTCAATAAGGATTCTTGCATCTCTCCCGTTTATCTTTAGTGTTCCCGCAACGGAGTCCGGGTTGGCACGAGCATCCGCCTCCGTCATAGCATAGACCCGAGCTTGGGTCTTCCCTTGATTTACGGATGGCGCGTTGCTTGCACTCGCTCCACCGTGCCCACCGCTCGCATTTGGTGCTCCCGTTCGATTCCTGCTCACCGTCGTTCCACTACTTGGCCCGGCCCCCACGGCTCGCCCAAGTTGTGGGCAACTCACCTTCAAATGCCCAACCTCCCCGCATTGATAACATCTCGGGGGATCACGACACTTGCCAAGGTGGTTCTTCTTACAGTTGCTACACCTCTTCATTCCCGAGCCTTGTGACATAGAGATTTGCCCACTTGGGCCTTGATTTCCCCTCACCGGTGGTGCGGGGGTTCTAAAGGATCCGCCTCCCCCGTGGTTCCCCTTCTTGTTAGAACCTTGGGGGCCATTGCTCTCCCATTTCCTTTTCTTTGCCTCCTCGGCATTTTTCCTTTTTCTTTCTTCCCACTCTTTCTCCCCTTTCAAGCCTTGTTCAACCACTTGACTAAACGTCATATTAGGCAATTGTGTTGCCCTCTCGCGTATGTCAAGGTCTAAGGCATCCCAGAAGTGGTTCACCATCCGGTTCTCGTCACAAATGTACTCCGGGATAAACTCAACAAGTTTCCTGAACTTGTGCTCAAGTTCCTTCACTGTGCATTGGCCTCCTTGGGTCAAATTTGTGTACTCCCTCCTCTTTAAGTTCACCTCAAAGTCGGAGTAGTATTGGCTGAAGAATTCCTGTCGGAAATTCTCCCAAGTGACGACTTCGTCGTACTTCCCTTTTGTTCCATCCCACCATGTGGACGCCATGCCTTCTAGTAACCTCGTGGCCACTCTCAACTTCATGTGGGGTGGCAGCTGCATGTCAAGTGCCGCTTCGTTGAATCTTTTGATCCACTCGGCCGCAACGGAGATGTCCCCCGTTCCATCAAACGGTTTACACCCCAAATCTCTTGCCTCTTTGAGGTACTTTGAGATCCTTATTATAGGGACCTCAACACCTCTCCATCCCCGGAGTTCTATGCTCTCCCTAGGGGTAACATGGCTTCCCCTTCTTGAAGCCCCTCCCAAAGCACGCCTTGCCTGGCGCCTTTGGCGATCTTGATGGTATTGCCGGAGCAATTCCTTAATCCGTTCGAGAGCTTCATTATCCTCGCTCTCATCACTAACATCGTCGTACTCCCCATCATATGGGGTCTCAACCGACTCGGTTCCCAGCTGGTAAGTTGAATCCTCCTCGGACTCATAGTGCTCGTCTATTGTTTCCACATGACCGTCACTCACGGTCAGCGACTGGCCTGCACGGCCTTGTCTCCTAGACACCCTCGATCCTCCCCGACTGCCACGTTGGGATCCTCCCGGTGCTTGGCCACTCGGGTTCCGTCGAGTAACTTTCCCGGTACGTTCCATTTTTGAAAGAAATTGAGAATGAGTCATTAGACGCGTATCAAATGTCAATTGACGGATAGATACTTAAAGACATCCTTTGGCTCAAATCACCGCCATACCAATTGTTAAGGGTACCTTCTTAACAATTAGAGACATTGCAACTCAAGTACCAAAAGTTCTATAAGTACAAAACTTTATGCTCATGGTTTTCAAATTCATTTCAAAAAGAATTTTGAAGATTCATTATGATGTTTACGGACTAAGGCTCTGATACCAATTAAATTGTCATGCCCCGGCCCTAGCCGGACACGTCAACAACCCGCCGTACCGTACGAATAGTCAACCGCAGTCCAACTCATCCATACTATACAAGGCGTCGTGAATACCATTCACACATAGTACATCCATAAACAAACATAATGTAAAACATTTATTTAAAGCAGCAGAAACATTTAATATAAGTGTTTATGCCACACCTTGGCAAACATGGGCATACAAGCCCCCAAATAATTATTCAAAAATAATATCCATGAGCGTTTATATAATTGTTTTCAAAAAGAAACGGAGGAAGCACGAACCACGTCTTCTCCCCTGAATATCCCCGAAGCAACGGGCGCCGGTAGCAACCTTCAAGTTCTACCTGAAACTGTGAGGTGGCCTCCCCCGTGAATGGGAGGTGAGTACTTGGAAGCATTTGACAAGTACAATGACAACTATACTAAGTATAATCAACATTTTAATTTCCAAGATCCTCAAAATAGGGTGATATCATAATATAAATAATAATTTATATTTCCCACTTATTATCCTTATAATAAGTAAATTCATTTATTTGTCGGCACACGGCCCTTCTTATTTATTTCTTTGCATTTATCATTTCCACAACCCAACCCTTGGGTCTTATTATTCCTACGAGACTTGCTACCGCTGTCCGAGACCTCATGAGGCTCTCGGTTCGGACTCCAACATCCTACCCCTGGACTCATACCCATCATCCCGTAGGAAGGTAAGGCCCTTCGAGGTCCTATCTTATGTGTTACCGCTACCGGAGCCTAGTTAGGTCTCCGATTCGGATTCCACCCTAACCCGTGATCACGATGCAAGTCCATGCTATCCAACCCCGCTCTCTAGAGACGGGAAGGGCCATGGTCCTTACTTATTTCCATAATTCAACCGGCTATCCTCAAGGCCTACCAAACACACCCGTAGGCCAATCCCATATCTATGATCAATTTATTATTTACTTTATCTTGGGTATCCTTTAAGGCCTACCCCTAGTATAATTTAAAGTTCATACTTTCCTACCTTAAAGCATCTCTTAAGACTACTTAAGGCATAACATTTCACAATCCCACCTTAGGATCAATCTTAACAACATTTCATTTTATTGTCCAACTAGTATCTTAATACTAGTCAAATTAATTCTAACAAACCAAGTTCTCAACTCATAGTCATATAGACAATTCCAACTCATTTTTCCATTGAAAATATCATTTATCTCAATATTCAAAATATCACTTTTAATCACTCATATAATCTAATATGAAGTAAAAAGTATATTTCAACATATGTTTCATAATCAATTCCACCTTCAAGTCAACATACTCATTACACATGATCATACACAATTTACTCTTAAATTTGTATATCATGCTCCTTTCCTTTATAGACATTAGTCTTCTCATTCTTAGGCATTATTAATCATTAATAATCCATAAAAACACATTTAATTACCTTAGGTAATCTCATGAAATTAACTCACTAATTATAAGCAATATAGTCAGTCATCATCACCTTATAGAGTGCTTGACTAGTTGCCTTTGCAAAGCCCTTCGACCCGTCCTCGTTCTAGGCCGTTCGAATGTTAAAATCTGAACTGCTGGGCAAAAGCCGGGCGGATTTCACGAAAGCCGGGCGACGTTCGTAGTCTGCAACTACGAACAGCTTCCTATATGTGGCGGTTTCCGGCGATTTCGACTCCTATCGATTCACCAACTCTTCTAAGTTAATTAACACCACTTTATAACAATATTCTACACTTTTAAACGTGTAGAACTCGAGGTTTAATCCATCATATGATTTCTTACAAATCATACACCATAAAACTAGTTAAAATAACTATTTGTGTTCTTACCTCAATGTCTAGCTTTTTTCTCCTTGGATTTCTTTCCTTCTTGCTTGTCTCAAGCTATGGCCTCTTTGTGGAAGACTTCCCTATAGCTTCTCTATCCTCTTTGGTCGTTTGTAAGGCTCAAAGTGAGGGGAAGTATCTATCCTCCTTCCAACCCATTATTTGAGGTGTAGATAGGCCATAGGGAGTGTGCATTTGTCTCATGACATCCGTCCTATCAACGGTCCGCACACCACCCTCAAATCATGTCCTTCCAACTCTCATTCAGTCAACTAGAGCTCATAAAAACGTGGGGTTGCCCCCACTTATGTGGGAGGTCATCCCATTATGTCCCAGTGTGTACAATCGGCCCTGAAGGTTGTATTTCTCGAACTGTCTTAATTAGATTTTAATTTGTCGGGCCATATAAAATTTATCATGCGCTCCTAATAATTATGGGCCTTTAGAATAGATGTACATTCCCTAATATTAATTTAGGAGTCTCCGAAATTCATTTCGGGCTGTCATCCGATAAATTACTAGTACCGCTAATTGGGACCCGTTTGACCAACAGGTCAACTCCATGCCCTTTTTATGGCCCAACTACACTATCCACCACCATATACATACTATCTAGACCAAGATGAATATAATATGGGGTTCTGAAATTATCGGGCGGTACCCGTTCCCGGTGTGGGCCCCACATGCAATTTACTATTCACGTAAAAGAAACAATAAAAATTTACAATTACGCAAATTCATAAATCATCCTTCAAGGTTTATTACATAATTTACTAAAAGTAATTATGCTTGGGGATGGTGTCACAGTTAGAGCATGGTTTGAAGTTTGGAGAGAGTAGAGATGAGGATAGGGGGACAGGGGCCTCAGAAGTTATGGTTAGGGAGGGCCGGAGGGTTTGACCCAGGGGGAGTGAGGGTTTCTGTGGATCCACAGACTTTTTGGGTGGAGTAGGTTCTGGATGTTCGGGTTGGGAGATAGTTTTGGATAACGGTCGAGGAGGAGGAGAGTTTGAATTATCTGACTGGGTTTGGTGGGGGTTAACTGATATATCAGAGGGAGTGTCATAGTTATTGGGTAAAGTGTGAGTTGTCAGGGTGGATGAGTGGGGTGTCGGAGGATTGGATTTAACGGGTGAGGAGTGGGTAGTCAGGGCTCAATATTAAAAGAGGGGTTAATGATTTTTGGAGCTATTGTTGAGGAGGTTCCAGGGGAGAGGGATGTAGCGACAGTTGGAGGATTGATAGTTATTTTACCTTTTTCACAAGTAAAATGCCCAAGTAAATTGCATGATAGACAGAAAGGTGTGATTTCTTCAAATTTTACCTCATGAGTAAAACCCACCGGCCCATTTTGAATCCAATTTTTTTTGGGTCCGTTCAGCTGTTACGTCGAATTCGACGCACACCCGGGCTGTGTAAGGCCTCGCCAGGTTGGCCGTGGCCGAGTCAATGAGCAGAGGTTTGCCAATAAGGTTTGCAATACACAATAAGGCACACTTATCTTGAAGGTGCACAGGTAAACCTGGGTGGAATGAAGAGGTCCATTTGGATACTCGCATTGTAAGCCCGAAAATTGACCATGTCCTTTTCAACCAACATCGGAGAAAGTCTTCTTCTCTGTCAAAACGTATCAGGATATGCGTAGGGGTTAGATGCCCTAAAGAAAAGTTACCTCTGAAACGAATTTTCTCAAACGTGTTCTGGATTGCCTGTAGCTTTGGTATTCCATGCAAAAATGATCCAATTAGTGCAAAGGAGAACTTGTTTGAGAGAGTGACAATTTCCTCATGAGAAAAAGAGATTGCCGGAAGACCTTTGAAGATATACGAGTCTTTGAGGGGAATTGGTTTAGAGGTGGGTTGGGATAGCGTTTCTGCATAGCTTCTCGGCTGGTAATGATTTGATTGGGTTTGTGGGACGAGGGTAATTTTTGGGGATTGCAGTGAGTGGGTTTGAGTGGCTTAGGATAGCTGCGGAGGAATAAAGGTTTTGTTTTTGGTTAGAGGCCTCGGGAAGGGTAATGGACGAGATGTCACCTCTCTTCGGCCAGCTTCTGGGGATCTGCGCTTGTTTGTTGAGTCGGTGGAGAATCCTTTGCTAAGAGTATCTGATGCGGTTGATTAGTTTGTGGTAGAGGTTTGGAGAGGCTGTTTGAGAGTGGGGGTTGTTGAGTGGTGTGCCGGAGGGGAGAGAAGCCTTCCATTTCCGTCGGATGTTGCAAGGGAGGAGAGGGTAGAGAGAAGGGAGACCTTCTCACCTCGTGTATTATTTGATCATTATCAATGAAATATGTTTATGTTTTCTCATATTATTTCCGAGTCCATCCATAGTTTATTAGCTCGAAATCTGGGATTAAATTGTCACAGGTAGAAACCCATGATGCTAGTGGTTTAGGGCTACTACTGCTTTGGTTTAGGATGTTGACATCTTTTTCTTTGGTTGTAGTAATCTCTATTCCGCTTTTGAGGATTTATTCCTTTATGTACTTTAGCTTCTTACAACTTGGAGATCTTAGAATTCCTCTTAGGAGGTGTGCACACTTAAGGTAGAAGTTCAACTTCTAAATTGATGGTCAGTGAGATCCAAAAATTTGGGGTGAATAGTAATTCGCATGTGTCTTGTGACCTACATATTTGTTAGGCTCGAGAATTCTTGAGTTTTGCCCACCTTTTCAAAGGAACTAGAAAATTTGGAATATATATATAAATGATTTTGGTGAATTGTAATTGGATAAAGGTTTTGGAAAGTGACATTTTACTTCAATACGAATATGTGAGTTATTTAAAATTTATAAATATTATTTTGTCACGCCCCAGACCGCATCTAGGCGCATGTACAACTGTCGTACAATCAAACAACGTCACCCGCAAGTTACACTCACTCGATTGTACAAGCGTCCATGAACATAGTTGTTGGGATATTGATCCAGAGGCCCAATACCCGGATAAAAAAGGCCCAGGATACCCGACCCAAACAACGGGTCCATTGCTCTATGATGAGCAGGCCCAGTAAAGAATCCATACCGAACGGGGTTCGGACCATATAACATACTTGGGCCAAATTGACAGCGTCATCCGCAAGGTCCAGCATCCCGTTCGAGCAATGGGCATTCAGCAAGTGGCCAGGTGCAATTAATGTCAGATTATGACATCAGCAAGTGGAAGCATGAGTGATCAAGTCGGTGGAGCAACGGCAAATCAGCATAGAGCAGCCCATGCTCTCCATTAGTATAAATAGAAGGTTTAAAATCATTGTAAGGGTTAGCATTTCAATACTCAAGCTCTAGAATAGCATCATTACTCTTGTTTCCTGTATTAAAGCACCGTTCCGACCTACCGATCGGGAAGTTTCCTTGTAATCAGATAGGTTAATTAATACAAGTGGGCTTTTGGGTATTAGTGGATTCATCTTTTATATTTTGTTATACACTTTGATTCTGATCCATTCCTGATATATCCAAAGTTCATGTTGGGCTTTCGGATCTACGGGACTTACTTTCAACATTGGCGCCGTCTGTGGGAAACTGTTCAAAAAGTTTCACATTCAATTATTCCAAAACAACTATTTTTGAAAATGGTCAGAATCAGTTCTTATCACACAAACGATGGTTCGCGCCATCACGGAAGGAGTCACACCCCGGGAAATCAAACCCCTCAGGGACAATCCAGCCGAGGATCATATCCTCATTTTGATGGGGACTTTGTAATTCCTGAAGCTCTAAGGAGGAAACCTCAGGCCATGCGAGATATGGCCCAGGTCATGCAACACATGGAAAACGAGGAAGAAGGAGGATCCAATTTTACAGGGGAAACTCCACACACAGAAACGACCACGGCGTCATCCCGCTCGCGGGCCCATCGGGATAATCGTCGTGGCGCTCCACCAACAGCGCATTATATTCCCAGTGACCGGACCCCGATCGGGTCACAAGCCAGGGGACCCACTCCTATTGGTCATCATTTCCAGCATGACGAACGGAATGATACTAGGGCCACTCAAAGGCATTGGGATCAGGATTATACAGATTTGAGGACTCCACCACCGCCCCCTTTGACGGCCCAGGAGGAAGAAATGGCTGAAATGAGGAGGCAGATGAACGAGATGAGAGATCAGATGAATAGGGCGCCCCGTACAGCCTGCTCCGATTCAGCTCGGGATTACTTCCCCTTTCACAAGAGAAATTATGTATGCGGATATCCAGGGAGGTGCCAAACCACCGGCCGGTCAAATTTATGACGGGGTGGGAGATCTCCATGTGCATTTAAGAAGTTATCAAGGAGGACTCATGCTACTAGGAGCACCTGAGGCTGCTATATGCCGGTTGTTTTTCAGTACGCTCAGAGGACCCGCCCAAGAATGGTTCGGGACCCTGCAACCTGGGTCGATCAACAGTTTCGCCGAATTATCGACATTGTTCTTGGCCCAATTTGCTTTCAGTGCCAACCCAAAACGGCACTTCAGCTACCTGACCAGCGTGAAGCAGAACTCCAAGGAAACCCTCAATCAATTCTTAAAAAGATGGAGGGACGAAACTCTGACAGTTGGAAATATGACGGATGATACCGCAATCACCCTATTCACAAACGCTCTCCGAACGGGAGAACTATACAAGGATTTGAAGAAGAATCAGGGTACGGCGTATGCCGAGGTGTTAGACAGAGCTCGCAAGCATGCTGCCCTGGAAGAAGAGATTATGATCAGGGACAAGGTCGCTGCGCCTACTGCCCCAATCAAGATGGCCGATCGGCTGGGTCCTACCCCAGTGGCCGCTCTCCCTCCTAAGCAAGGGCGATTTACTCCCCTGGTCCTGTCTGTGGCAACCATTTATCAGAATGAGAAGGACAACATTCCCCTTCCGACTGATTCTTCACAGTATATGGGAGCAGACGAGTCTGCTTTTTGTAAATATCATAACAGGAAAGGTCATGCCACCAACGCTTGTAGGGCACTACAAACGGCTATTGAGGACTTGATCCGGTGGGTCATCTGGGCAAGTATGTGAGTAAGGACCCAAGTGCGGTAGGCACTCTAAAACCGATCAGGAAACCCAACAGCTAGCGACGGGATGCCCAACGTGATGCCCAGCCCCAGAATGACGTATATATTCCCCCAGGGATGAACCAGAGGGCTCGGGAGGCCCCGGAAAGAAACCTCGAATGGAGGTCAAGGTTATATTTGGGGGCGGGGAAACAGGGGATTCGAACGCCGAACGGAAAAGGTTCGAGCGAAGTCTTTATATAGGATCCATCTCCACCCCCCCAGAAGAAAGGAAGGACGGACCCGATCACGTTCGGGCCGGCTGATTTACCCAACTCGCCAAGCCCGCACAGGGATGAATTGGTGGTGAGCATGTGCATTGACAATGTTTTGATTCGCCGGGTACTGATCGATACCGGGAGCAGTGTGAATGTATTGTATTTACAATCATTCGAGAAAATGGGTCTACAGAGAAGTAAATTGACCCACCTAAGAACCCCACTGGCGAGCTTCACTGGTAACTGTATTGAGGCTGAGGGGACCATCCAATTGTTAGTTGAAATTGGGGACGAAACGCACAAGGCATCACTCCGAATGACGTTCGTGGTGGTGGACATAAAATGTGCCCATAATGCCATCTTGGGCCGACCAGGGTTGGAAGATCTGGAGGCAATAGCCTCTGTCCACCACTCGTGCATCAAATTCCCCACGGACACCGGGGTTGGGGTGGCTAGAACTGATCCGGCGACAGTCCGAACATGCTACCGAGAGGCCCTGAAGCAGATGAACACCCGTGGAATGCGGGTTAACAGTATTGAGGTGGAGACCCACCGAACGGAGTTCGAGGCACATCCAGAACCTGCCACTCTCCTCGAGCAAATTGACCTGGATTTCCCCCCGAACCGGAAGGTAGCTATCGGGGTGGATCTGGAGGCTCACATTTGGGATGGCGTGATAGCTGTCCTAAAAACGTTTCAGGTATTATTCGCCCGGGGGCCGGAAGATATGCCGGGTATTGACCCAGAGATAATCTGTCACAAGCTTGCCGTTCGGCCTGACGCAAAACCGGTCCAGCAAAAGAAAAGATATCAAGCAACCGAACGGCGGGATTTCACAAAGCAGGAAGTGGCCACCTTGCTGAGAATAAAACACATCCGTCCAGTAATCCATGTCGAATGGCTATCCAATGTGGTCCTAGATCCAAAACAATCTACTTGGAGGATGTGCGTGGATTACTTGGATCTGAATAAAGCTTGTCCCATGGACCCTTATTCAGTGCCGAGGATCGATTTGTTAGTAGATGAAACGGCCGGATGTGAATTGTTGAGCTTCATGGATGCATTTCGGGGATACCATCAGATCTTCATGCACCCAGATGATGCAGAGAAAACAGCGTTCGTTACTTCGGATGGTGTGTTTTGCTATATTGTCATGCCATTCGGATTAAAGAACGCAATGGCAACTTTTCAGAGGATGATCGGGATGTTGTTCAAAGAAGTGTTGGGAGTCACAATGGAGGCTTATGTTGATGATATCCTGATCAAAATCCGGAAGAAGGAGAATCATATCCTGGACATAGAAAAGGTGTTCGGGATAATGCAGAAAGCTAACATGAGGCTGAATCCCAAAAAATGTGCTTTTGCAGTGAGAGGGGGCAAGTTTTTGGGATACATGATGAGCGAGAAGGGGATCGAGCCCAATCCTGAAAAAGTAAAGGCAATTGTGGATATGGAGGCTTCTAGAAACCTCAAGGAAGTGCAGAGATTGACCGGTCGGTTAGCAGCTCTGAGCAGATTCCTATCCAATCTAGCCGATCGAGCTATTCCATTCTTCGAGATCATGTAAAAAGCCAACCCCTTTGAATGGACCGTCGAGTGTCAAACAGCTTTTGAAGATTTCAAGGCATATCTATCTCCCCCCTGGTCTTGACAAAACCCAATCCAGGGGAACACCTGTATATGTACCTTGCTGTAGCTGACCTGGCCGTGAGCACGGTATTATTGAAAGAAGAAGATGGCATCCAGCGGCCAATCTATTTTGTAAGCAAGGCTTTGAACGGCCCGGAAACCAGGTACACCTTGCTAGAAAAAACAGTACTGGCCCTGATAGCTGCTATTAAACGTCTAGCACCATATTTCCAAACCCATCCGGTAACTGTGTATACTACTCAGCCGCTCGCCACCATCTTGAACAACCCAATGGCAAGTGGGCGCATTACAAAGTGGAGTCTTCTGATCGGGCAATATGAGGTGGATTTCAAGCCTCGACCTACTATCAAAGGGCAGGCCCTGGCAGATTTCATTGCAGAATGTACCGCTCGGCCCTCGGAAATAGATTCAGAGAACAATGTGCTGGATAACTGGTGGGAAATGTATGTGGATGGTGCAGCTAGTGCCAAGG